AACGCCAGTAGCCTTCAAAGCTCATTGTGTCACTTGGCAAATGCAGCCTCACCAATTCCTGAGGGAGTCTCTGGGAGTTTAATTTTTCCTGATGATGTGAGGCTAGGATGCGTGGAGGCTGAATCAGAGCTCCCTCCTTTCTCCCCTGCTGAGTGCTGTATCTTAACTAAGAATGAGCATTTCCATTTATAGAACCCTAGTGGCTGGGTTGACGTCACCGCCCCACGAGCTTGGTAAACACAGTGTGTGTGTGTGTGTGTGTGTGTGTGTGTGTGTGTGTCTTGCTTCCTAGACCAGAGAACAAAACTGCTACTGGGTTGCTACTGCAGCATCCCACTTGGCAGGGCTGTGGCTGATGTTTAGTGCTCCAAAAGATGTGGCATCCATGGCTCATGGGTAGAGATGGATGAGGAGTGAGGTCATTGCTTAGAGATCTCCCATGCAAGAGAAGGGAACCCACAGGGCTGCCCTAGAAGCAAGAAGTCCCAGCTGGTTCACAGCGCTGCCTGGGTAACTGTTCCGTACCTTACCACTTCTGCGAGTGGCAGCAGACTGGCCTGTGTGCAAGAGCAGAGTGTGGATGAAAAAGTTAGACAGGTTGCGGTGCTGATCTGAGTACAGTGGTACCTCTGGTTAAGTACTTCATTCGTTCCAGAGGTCCGTTCTTAACCTGAAACTGTTCTTAACCTGAAGCACCACTTTAGCTAATGGGGCCTCCCACTGCTGCTGCACCGCCACTGCACGATTTCTGTTCTCATCCTGAAGCAAAGTTCTTAACCCGAGGCACTATTTCTGGGTTAGCGGAGTCTGTAACCTGACGCGTATGTAACCTGAAGCATATGTAACCCAACAGTGGTACCTTGGGTTACAGACACTTCAGGTTACAGACGCTTCAGGTTACAGACTCCACTAACCCAGAAATAGTACCTCGGGTTAAGAACTTTGCTTCAGGATGAGAACAGAAATCACATGGCGGCGGCAGTGGGAGGCCCCATTAGCTAAAGTGGTGCTTCAGGTTAAGAACAGTTTCAGGTTAAGAACGGACCTCCAGAACGAATTAAGTACTTAACCCGAGGTACCACTGTAATCCAGGGATGTAGTTGAGAAGCGCCAAATGTGCCATCCGGATTGTAAGGTATGCAAAACACACTACCCACCCTGTGTCCAAACATTATTATTATTATTATTAACCTCAGGCTTTTCCTGCTCTTTAAAGCTGAATTGGAGCAAACATCAACTTGCAAGTCCATTGCCACATTGCTTTTCAAGGGAAGATCCACGATTGGGCAGCACTAAGAATTGCAGCACCCTGACTGTATTTTTACAACCAGAGATAAACCAGTAACAAAGATTAGGTCTCTGACTGGTTCCAGGACAGCATTTCCTTAAGGACAATGAGACTGTGAAGCACTCTGAACATTCAAGTACCATATAAATCAGGGGTGCCAATTTGAATAAAATATGGGGGGGGCATGTAAACCCCACCCCGCATAATTAGTCATGTGACACAGCATGCATGCACCACCTGAATGGCAATGCCCACGAACTTTGGGGCAACAGTTCCCTCAAATATTTTATTGGGGGACCAAAGGGAACTCGACCCCAAGGAGTTGTCTCCTATGATATAAATGCAGTTGCTGCTATTACTTACGCAGAACTTTTAGTTGAATGACTCCATCGCTCAAAAGCTTTGCTAGCTACTCAGACATAAAGCGTCGTTAGCGAAAGCTACCCCTTTTCTTCCTTTGTATATTATCCACTCTAGGAATCAACTTGGCCAGATACTGTGTCTTGTCTAGCTGTTCATTTTGGTTTAAGAGCTATTCCTTTTGTTCCTAGTTGCTTCTGTCCATATCCCCTGCTGCCACCCAGTTCCTAATCCATTTGTAGACACCTCTCTCAATGGAGAGGGACACGGGTGGCGCTGTGGGTTAAACCACAGAGCCTAGGACTTGCTGATCAGAAGGTCGGCAGTTCGAATCCCCGTGACAGGGTGAGCTCCCGTTGCTCGGTCCCTGCTCCTGCCAACCTAGCAGTTCGAAAGCACACCAGTGCAAGTAGATAAATAGGTACCACTCCAGCGGGAAGCTAAATGGCGTTTCTGTGCATTGCGCTGATTCGCCAGAAGTGGCTTAGTCATGCTGGCCACATGACCTGGAAGCTGTACGCCGGCTCCCTCGGCCGATAAAGTAAACCCCACGGTCGGCCACGACTGGACCTAATGGTCAGGGGACCCTTTACCTTTACCTCTCAATGGAAGCAGCTGCATACATTTTTAAAGTCTGCAGTCTTCCAGCTGGGCAGGAGGCCAGGCTGGGCCTGTTGTTCTTGGGTCCTGGACACAATTTGTTCTGGGGTCATCTCAGCTTCCCAGTTATTTTGATGTGCATGGTGTCTATCCATGGCTCACTGCATCAAGTATACTACTTGAGAAACGCAGAGGGGAAGACATGCAAGGAGGCACAGTGGGAAGAAGGTTTCAGGTTGAGATATCCATATGTGGTGCAGACCTCTCTCCCAATAACATGCCTAAACTAGGGTTGCCATATTTCAAAAAGTGAAAATCCAAACACAAAAGTTGTTGAGTTTTGGGGTGCCATACTTCCTGATTTTCCCAGACATTTAAGCGTTTTCTACCCGGGCACTGTTTCCAATAGCCAAATCCTGGCTACGTCCGGGAAATTTCAGATGTATTGCAGCCCTAACATCCACCAAATGCAACACACAAACACACATACACACAGAGACAAGAATGAGTAGAGGAAACCAAAATTTAATAAATTAATCTTATTTATTATATTAATGCTCACTGATTCCAGTTAATAAATGGAGGTTAGAAAATTTAAAAAATGCTGCATAGTTGAGGATTAAACCATCCGAACAGCAGAGAAAATCAACAACAGAATTTCCACTGCTTGAATTTGTGGCATAAATTTGTTCATAGTGAAATGATGTATGCCAGCAGCTGTACCCTTGCCACAAACTGGAGGGTACTTTACCAGGGTGATGCCAAGTGCTTGGAGAAGCATTTTAAGGCACAGATTTGGGAACAAGGCTTTCACAAGCTTCTTAAAAATTAGCTTGCTCTCCTAGCAGCCAGGTAGAGGAATGGTAGAGGTTGACCCAGAGCATATAAATTCTTACTGAAGTCTACCCAAAGACGTTAAGCACCTGGTGTTGGTATATTTGGTCCAGCGCAACCTTAGAAGCAGAGTTCCCAAGAAAAGGCTCCTGTGCAAACCCACGGAAATTAATGGGGGCTCCATTTCAGCTGGTTTAGCACAGGTAAACTTCCTGGGTTCCCCCCCCTCAGCCTTAGAGATGGAATAACTCTGTTGTGATTAGTGCTGGGGGTGGGGGGGGGGGGAGAGACAGGGGAAGATTCAGCATAAGAGAACAAGTAAGGAAGTAATAGCATCAGTGCAATGAACCTTGCAAACAGAATGCTAAACCCCTGACAACTTGTTGTAAGCACTGTATCATCAGAATGTGTGTGCAGAAGGGCGAGAGAGAAGCAACTGTTCTTCTGAAGTTGGTCCCTAAGGTGAATCAAAGATACAAACCATCCAGAAATCCACCTGGGCCATTCTCACAGTTGCATCTTAATTTCACTATGAGTAACCACAGAGGAATGGGACACATCTATTTCCCACGTTCAGCAGCAATGTGACGCTCACAACACCAGATCTCCACAGCTGGGGCCTTGCTGTCACAGTTTGCCATGCACACAATGCGTGTGTGGTGTGTTTTTTTTTGGGGGGGGGAGGAGGGGATGAGCCTGATCCAGCAAGCTCTTCTTATGTTCACATGTGACACATGACATTATCAGTGACTTTTAGGAAGCCATAATCCACACTGCTGCACTCAATATTACGGCTGACGTACAACAGAATATTGCAGTATTGTGCTGGAATGATGCAATTTTCCCCTGAAGAGGGATGCTGCCTCAAGGAGAGATGCCTGGGTTCAGAATGGCAGCCAACACCTGTTGGAGTAGTTCTTGTGAAAGGTAACTGGGTCGGCCCCGCCTGCCCCCAACAACCTCACAGTTTGCTTTGAACTAGTTCTGCTCAGGCCTTTTCGTGTCAACCTCTTTACTTTCGAGCTCTCAGAACAAAGGCGAGCACAGCCAAGAGTAGTGTCACGGTTATGCCCAAGTGAAGAGAGTTATGAAGCCTTGTTTTGCTGAGGATGGCGTTCTGAGGACCCTGGTATGAAGGAATGTCAAGTTCCACCCCAACCTGTTAGAGTGGAAACACCTTTTTCCAAACACTGTCTTCCAGTATTTACTACTGCCGTCCAAGCATGGACAATCCTCCATTTTCAGTGCCTCGCTTGACACGGTTTCCTCCTCTGTGCATTCAGCCTATTTCATTCTCCCAACATACTTCTATAAAAGAACAAAGAGCCATTGGGCAAAGTGGCAGAACGGTTTCCTTTCGTCCCTTCTCTCTTCCTCTAAAATATCCCTCCAACAGAAAACCAGGCCCCTCTACCCTGGAGGCAATAGTGCATATTTTTCCTTCCAACTGATAGACATGTAGCTGAAACAAGGCAATGAGCTGTTTAGACACACTGTCGCAGTCTAAGCCTGAAGCCACAAAGACCAGACAACTGCTGATACAGCTACATCTCTCTTTGCTCCACACCCACCCATGTGAGCCAAAGGATATTCCTGTGCTTCACACACACAGAAAGAGTTTAAACTATACATTTCAAACCATGTTAGATGCCCAGAGAGTCCATCCCCAAAACTGAGATGGATGTTGTTCTCCAGTTGCTCATTCTGTTCAGGGTGGCCAAGATGATGGAAGAAAAAACAAACAAATGCTCCAGTTGTGTGGATCCAGGGTTGTCTGCCTGGGCCAAGGGGATGGTCAGAAGCAGTTCCTATGGCTACTGGCTTCTAAGGGTATTAGAAGGGGGAGTATCCAGCGTGGTCCAGAAGTACTTAAGAGTCTCTGTGTTCCTGACCAAGTACTGCCCCGTTCTCAACATCCTCATGCTGCCTTGCGAGATACGGACCGGCAGACGGCTCGGTAGAAGCCCCGGGTGATGCGAAACATCCAGACCATATTGAGTACTTCCAAGGCTAGGCTGGGCCCGATCCAGGCCAGCTGTACACCCAGGCCCAGGCGCTCATACTCAGGAGTCCCATACCAGGAGTAGACTTGCATGTAATAGCTGGGGATGACGGCAATCCGAACCACAAAGAAGACCACCATCATGGCCAGGCCATTGGCCAAGACGACCCAGGAAGAGCGTGGCCAGCCAACTGCATCCAGGAACCACCTGAGGTAAGGCAAAAGTATTGTGTCAAATGTATACATATAAAAAACCACCCAGGGGGGCTGTCCTGGAAGATGCCACCCCTTCCTTCCACCTCTTTGAAGAAAGCAAAACCACAAGTCATCCACAAGATAATTCCAGACCTCTAGTGAGGCATGGGGAACCAAGAATTCAGCAGCATTAAATCAGCCATGGTTCTCCCAGATAGAACGATGTAGCAGTTTCTTGAGAAGTAAGCTTTGAATGGGGTCAGTGCTATGAATTCAAGGGGGGTGCCCTCTGACCCCCCGTTAAGCTTCACTTGTTGGTGGAACACAGCGCCACCTATGGTAATTCCTCTAGGATTAAGGGATCAGGAGTGAGCTGAGCTTCCTTAGTGGTGGCCACCCAAAGGACTTAAGATGTTGACTGTGGAATAATAATAATAATAATAATAATAATAATAATAATAATTATTATTTATCCCCCAGCCACTCTGGGCAGCTCCCAACATAATATTAAAAACACAATAAAACATCAAGCATTAAAAACGTCTCTAAATAGGGCTGCCTTCAGATGTCTTCTAAAAGTCAGGTAGTTGTTTATTTCCTTGACATCTGATGGGATGTCAAGGGCGGGCATCACTACTGAGAAGGCCCTCTGCCTGGTTCCCTGTAATCTCACTTCTTGCAGGGAGGGAACCACCAGAAGGCCCTCTGAGCTGTGGACCTCAGTGTCCAGGCTGAACAATGGGGGTGGAGACGCTCCTTCAGATATCCTGGGCCGAGGCCATTTAGGAAGTGGGGGGGCTTTACTGTGGCTCCTTGTGAGGGGCCTGGGGTACAGCTGCTTTCCACAAGCCTGTCCCTTTTGCTTTGAAAAGGATATGCAGACCCAACATTGTCGAATGGATGTCACAGGTTTGTGAAGAAGCTCCTGACACCATAAAAACCCTTGACTTACTCCATTAGAAAACTCACCGCAGGTTCACGAAGGGCGTGGAGAGTTCCGAGAGGAGACGGAAATTGGCAAAGTAGGGCAGCACCCCACGGCTCTGTGGAGACAGAAAGAGAAACCTTGAGATGCTGGCCTCACTGTTCCCCAAGACAGTGCCAAAGGCCTCGCTTTTTCCAGTGCCAGAAGATTCAGGCAGCTCTCAGGTACCAAGCAGAGAGCCCGACCTCCCTTTCTCTCAACAGCAAGGAAGCCAAGCAGAGAAAATGTTAGAGAACAGCAGAGCAGAATACCAGTACAGCCAGACTCCTTGGTGCCACCCATGCCTTGGTCGCTGGGCTTTTCCATCCTGAATGATGCAAAACAATTTTAATGTCCATCCATCCAACAGGACCCTGCCAAACCTGTGTATATCTATACCAATAGAAGCTGGTCCGCAATACCCGCTTCTTTGTTTTGTGAACTGTACCAGTTCAGCAACACGACTAGCATGCAATACGTGAGCAACTTTATTGGGCTGGGTTACGAATCAAACCAAGCAAGTCCCTTATGATAAAGGTAAAGGAACCCCTGACCATTAGGTCCAGTGGTGGCCGACTCTGGGGTTGCGGCGCTCATCTCGCTTTATCGGCCGAGGGAGCCGGTGTACAGCTTCTGGGTCATGTGGCCAGCATGACTAAGCCACTTCTGGCGAACCAGAGCAGCGCACAGAAACGCCGTTTACCTTCCTGCCAGAGTGGTACCTATTTATCTACTTGCATTTTGACGTGCTTTCGAACTGCTAGGTTGGCAGGAGCAGGGACCGAGCAACGGGAGCTCACCCCGTCACAGGGATTTGAACCGCCGACCTTCTGATCGGCAAGTCCTAGGCTCTGTGGTTTAACCCACAGCGCCACCCACGTCCCTAGCAAGTCCCTTACAAATGCCTAATTGCATGTCAGAAGACAGGCACAATCTCATGGGTCATTTACCTGTTCAATTCCCCTTGAAATGAATTGAGAATTTTAGGGACATCTGTTGCAGCAGAAGTATTGCTCTAGCTGACTCCATTTGCTATGAAGAAGCAGGCTGGGCTGTTACAAGGAGAATGACCACAGGGGATTCAAGAGTTAATGCTTTCAGGAAAGAGAAAGAGCCAGAAAGGGCAAGGTAATCAGCAGTGGAGGCAGGAGTCCTCAGATGTGGGCTGAAGTTATATTAATCTGGGGTAAATGGTGTTGCGGCTTGACCACCCTCTAAACCCATTTACTAGTAACACAAACTCTGCTATTGATTGTGAAAAATCTCCATTTCATTTAGCAGGACTAGCTACCAAGTACGACAAGATTGCAGCATAACCTCATCCATGAGATGGTGGACTCTTCTTCCCACTGAATTCACAGGAGTTGCTTCCATGTAAGTGTGCAAAGGATTGCTGTTATGTTAACCTCAAGGCTCAATGTGATGCCAACATTTCCTTATCATTTTCTAGCCAGGTAAACATTCCCTTGAATCCAACATGTGATTGGTTTTTTTAAACTGCTTTTAACGGTTTTAATTTTATGCTTTCTAATTGTTTGTTCTACTGTATATTTTAAGCAAGAATGTTTCCATGTTATTGTGCATTTAATTATGGACTGATTTTATAGTTGCAAAGTGCTTAGAAGCCATTTTGGCATATAAGCAGCATGTAAATAAATGTCTATGTAGAAGGCAGCCTATGTTATAATGGCTATTCTGCAGATGAGGTAAGGAGTCTTGAGGAAACACTACTTCCTCCAAGGTTGCTAAATCAATCAATGGCTGAGCAGGACAAGCACAACTTAGAAGCACACATGGATTCCTCTTGAACAGGACTCTCCACCTCCTCATACGAGATATGACAGGCGCCCGGTGTCTGCACTTTCCGGAAACAGTTGAAGATATTTCTGTTCTGGCTTTATCAGCTGAATTAACAGGTCTTCCCCACGAGTGTTAAGACTTCTAGTCTTGTTTTAAATGTGCTTGTTGTTTTTGAGTTTTTCATTATTTCATGTGTAAATCACCTTAAGACTGTGCTTAGGAAGCTGATTAATAAATTAACTTTGGTGGTGGTGGTTATTTCTGACGAGGGGAAAATAATTCCACCATTTCACAAAGCGCTTAGTGATGGAATAAAAAGTTAAACCGAGATAAAAAACTTTTACATTCCCCCTCCTCTTTAATGTGACATACCAATGCTACTTCTCATTATGCTTCTAAAATGTCTGTCTTTCTCCCTTCCTAGCATATCTTGTTCTTCTCAACCAAGGATGAATAACCTGTAGTCCTCCAGATGTTGATGGACTCCTGTTGCCCTTAGTCCCACCCAGCTTGTCTGAAGGTCAGGAATTATGGGAGTTGTAGTTCAGCGACGTCTGGAGGGCCACAGGTTTGTCGTTCCTGTTCTAGACTGAGAACCCGGAGGCAGGGACTGTCTTTATACTTCATTTCCATACAACACCTTTTTACGCTGCAATCCTAAACACACAAATTAGTGGGTCAATCCCATTTAACTTAACGGGACTTATTTCTGAGTAATCATGCTTATGGTGGCTTCCCATGGCACACGCTCTCTGTCTCTTAAAAAAAAACTTTTTAAAGTTCCTGGAGCATGTAAATGAAAAGTAAATCAGGAGTTCTCAGACATATGGAAGTTATATTTCTCAGCCAACCGATCATTGGAAGCGGGGGGGGGGGGGGATTTCAGTCTGTGCTATGCTAATTCTCTTTATTTTCCCTGGTCCAGATTTCAGACCATGTCCTTTTTTGCCCTGATGACAGCCGGTTTCTGTGGGTTGGGATGGAACGATGCGGCACTGAAAGCTGTAGAAGAGCAGAGGGAAGCAAAGGGATTGATGAAGAATGTTTTTTTTTTTTCTTTTAGAAAAAGGAACAAGAATGAAGAATAAGAGGAAACCTCTCCCCCTCCCTCCTCCCCAATAGCTAAAGGACTCTGGAACTAACCAACACGTATCCATAAGCGTATAGCGCTGCCAAGTGGTGGCAAACGAAAAGCGAATCTCCCAATGTCCTCCAGTACCGCACTAGCAGCAACAGATCTAGAATTCAGAACACAACACAACATACGCACAAGGAAGGTTTACTGGGAGATGAGCAGGCAGGATACAAGGTTCAAGCATGTAACAGAGCAAGGCCGACATATTTCCACCCCTGACCCCGTGATTCTTCTTTTAACAGCCAATCTGCAGGCAGAGATTTAAAAGGGGAAGATTTAAATGGGGTGGGAAAAAAGGTTAAAAAGGTAAAGGACCCCTGGACGGTTAAGTCCAGTCAAAAGTGACTATGGGGTTGTGGCGCTCATCTCACTTTTCAGGCTGAGGGAGTCAGTGTTTGTCCACAGACAGCTTTCCGGGTCATGTGGCCAGCATGACTAAACCACTTCTGGCACAACGGGACACCGTGACGGAAGCCAGAGCGTACAGAAATGCCATTTACCTTCCCATCACAGTGGTACCTATTTATCTGCTTGCACTGGTGTGCTTTCGAACTGCTAGGTTGGCAGGAGCTGGGACAGAGCAACGGGAGCTCACCCCATCGCAGGGATTCAAACTGACCAGCTAGTAGCTTTATGTCCATCTGCCAGCAGTGGTACAGGAGAGTGTTGGCATTCTGGGCCCCAATGTCAGCTACTCAGTAGCATCCAGCAATACAACCATTTTTTAAAAAAAAAAACATTACACTATCTTTATATTGAGACATTTACCTCTCTCCCTCCCCCCTCACATATTACCTACCGCTGAGGAAATCTAGAAACCTTATATAGTCCCCATCACATCATAATAATCCTTTGAAATACAGAGGGTGTTTCAGCCTTCTTCCAGAACTAAGCGTGAATCCCAGTATTTGGGATGAGCTTTCTTCACCCAGAACTTTGCATCCTCCCCACTGTATTCTCCTCTGTCCTATGGGCCTGCTTCACCCTGGACCACAGTTTTCTAGCAGTTTTCCCTTTTCTTTAATGACCTTGACAAAAACCGGAATGTGAATTTCCGCAAATTAAGCCTCTCAGAACTCCATAAACAACATATTGGGGTTTTTTTCATTTTTGTTTTCATTGGCTAACAAACCCATTCCCACTGCATCCACCAAATGTCTCTATTATTATTATTATTATTATTATTATTATTATTATACCAGATTTGGATAATTTTGGTTATTTATAAAATTATAAATTATTTTATTATTTATACCCCACCCATCTGGCTGGGTTTCCCCAGCCACTCTGGACGGCTTCTAGCAGAATATGAAAACATAAGGAAACATCAGACGTCAAAAATCTTCCCGTTAAAATGTTTAAAAATGTTATTGGGTTAAATACATATTTTATCTCAATATACACATTTCTAAATATATGTTATCCTAAAAAACACATTTTTAATATGCCGTGGCATGTTTCTAGGTAAGGACTGAATTGCAAAACTCAGAGAAGTGCAAAATCAGAAAGATTGTTGCATTCTGATCTGGTCTGGGAAGTGTGGATTGGGTCTGCAATGGAATTCAGAGGAACTCTGTGCTATATGATCATTTTTGTGTGTTATTGGACTGACATAACTTGTGATTTACAGAGTTTTGTCTGAAGGCACATGAGGCCATCATTCACTTCCTGGATGAGAGATCACTTGGGAACTGCATGTTTGCCACCTTGGGAAGAAGGATATGGATGCAAGTAAGTCAATAAAAACTTTACCAACGGGTAACCGAGAAGAGTGAGAGTGAATTGATGGAGGCTGCAGGAGACTCCCTGGCAGAAGAAACAGGGCTTCAAATTCACTTCTCACAGAACTAAATTGCTGGATGAAATTCACCAACTGGCAGCAAAAAAGATGCTGTATATCACAAGTGATTGTGTACTTAAAAAAATATATTTAGACACCTTTTATTCCACTTTTGCACCTAAAAGCTACTCAAAATGACTTACAGTGAAGCTATAGATAACCTCAATAATAACAACTGATAAATAGAACAACAAAATAAGAAACATAAATAAGCAAACAGGGCAGCAGATAACACACACCAGTCTGTTTTTTTCCTACACAGCCTCAGCTGCAAAGCTTTTCTTCTTTCTGGGCAGTCCAAACTTCCCCTTCACTATGAGATGGGAAGTGGGGAAGCACAAACTCCTATGTTTTGTTTTAGGGTGATTCTTTGGGGCCCAATCCACTGGGAATGCCTCAGTATAGAAGCACCTTTCCTGTTCAATTTAATGGGTCTTGGGTCAGGCTGAGATAACCCCAATGGCATCTGATGGTAGCAGGCCAAGGAATAGAAAGGCAAACTGTGGCTGTGGTGAGGGGAACGGCAAGCTTCCCCAGAAACCTTCTGCTACCATCCTTGGCCTTTCTAGCCTGCTCAATGAAATGGGGGCCATGATATTTACCATACAGCAAGTATCCACACGTGACAGCTATGTTCAGCTTGACGAGCCACGGGTCTCCCCTGCAAAGGATGAAAGAGTGGGAGAATGATAAGAGGTGAGGGATCTGCTTTTGGGAGATGAATCTACCCTACTTCAACAGGTGCCAGTTTCTTTCTCACATGCAAGAAGCACCACATGGTGTTAGATGGGAAAGACCTCCCTGACTCAGTAAGAGAGGCTGGGCAAAAATGGACTGTCCGCGACAATGCAGGGAGTCTTTCATACTGTCTTGCTTTGCTCCATCACCATGAAACATCTTCAGGTCTTTCTTTCTTGCCATGCTTTTGTATTTTACATGTTTGGTTTAGACTAAGTGCTGACAAACAACTAGCTGGGATGGGTAACCTATGACCCTCTATACTAGGGGTTGCCAACTTGTGCCTGAAAAGGCTTTCACTGGTGCCCCAGACTCTGAGCTTTTTAAAGAAGAAAGTAAGTCTCTATTCCTACCCCCCCAACCCCCGTGAAGGAAGTTATGAGGCAAAATGTGCAGGCACCTCCTTAGAAATTTCAAATAAGAATGAATGTTGTGTAGCTACCTTCAATATTTTTCCTGGTACTGAGGAATGCTCCCTGTTCCATAAACAGCAACAGCATCTCTCTCTCTCTCTCTCTGTTGTGTGTGTGTGTGTAACCAATATTGTGCGAACTCCACAATCAAGACCAGCAGGACATAGGTGACTTCCCATGGAAAGTGTAAGGTTGTTAGGGGTGACTTTATCTTTAACACTGAGGTCCTCCTCTGAGGGCCTTCTGCTGGTTCCTTCACTGTGAGAAGCGAAGTTACAGGGAACCAGGAAGAGGATCTTCTCGGTGGTGGTGCCCGCCCTGTGGAATGCCCTTCCACCAGACTTTTAGAAAACATCTGAAGGCAGCCCTATTTGGGGAAGTTTTTAAGGCTTTATGTTTTTAGATATGCTGTAAGCCACCCAGAGTGGCTGGGGAAACCCAGCCAGATGGGCAGGGTATTATTAATAATAATAATAATAATAATAATAATAATAATAATGTGTTATGCTATGCTCCCCATGGCAGCCATTTTGTATTACGGCAAACCCTCTCCCCACAGCAGCTATTTTCTGTCTGGGACACCCAGAGCTCTCTCAAAATCTGAAATATACGCACTGTTCCAAAAAGGTTGGTGACCGGTGCTCTATATAGTGTCGAGATACAGCATTTCTCCTCATCCCTCACCATCTGCCATGCTGGTCAGGACTGATGGGACTTGCAGTCCACCAACTTCTGGAAGGTCATAGGATCCCCATCTCTAGATGAAAAGGAGGCTGTGTCTCTAGCAGTCCCCCCGCCCAATTCCTTGTTGTTGAAACTGTATAAAACACACCCATTGGTCTTTAAGATTTTCCCTCACAGATTACAACTGACTGTAAGGATTGATGAAAACTAGACAATAGGAGCTAGCTGCTGCTGTGGGAGAAAGAACAAAAAAAAGAGAGAAGTTGTAACAAGGTGGGAGCAAAACCTGGTCTTTCCCCAATCACTGACAACCCTGATGCTGGTGACTGTGGTTGCACAACCCTCAGGTTGAGGGCTGGTCTGGATACAGCCTTAAGGTAAAGGTAAAGGGACCCCTGACCATTAGATCCAGTCGTGGCCGACTCTGGGGTTGCAGCACTCATCTTGCTTTCTTGGCCAAGGGAGCCGGCGTACAGCTTCCGGGTCATGTGGCCAGCATGACTAAGCCACTTCTGGTGAACCAGAGCAGCGCACGGAAATGCCGTTTACCTTCCCGCCGGAGTGGTACCTATTTATCTACTTGCACTTTGACGTGCTTTCAAACTGCTAGGTTGGCAGAAGCTGGAACCGAGCAACGGGCGCTCACCTCGTTGTGGGGATTCGAACCGCCGACCTTCTGATCAGCAAGTCCTAGGCTCTGTGGTTTAACGCACAGTGCCACCCGCATCCCTTGGATACAGCCTTATATTACCACAAAGACGTACACAGCTAATATCCCACATGTAGCTGGTGAATCTAAGCCGGATTGAACATAAGCTGACAGTGAGCTGCGTGCTCCAAGACGGTGAAGTCGACTAGTCAGGGTCACAGATGTGTTGGTAAGAAAGGAACAGAAATACCAGGGTGCAGACCAAAATGCCTGCTGAGCTTTAGGGACTCACTTAGCCAGCCCAGCTCAGGAGCAATGTGAGGCTAACTGAAAGAAAGGCATGGATATGTGCATTGCAAGCAGAGCGGGAGGGAGGAAGGGAGCAGGGGGGTACGGCTTGGGCAACATCATAAACACCTCTTTAGGCCCACTGCCAGCCCTGGCCCAGAAGCTGTGCCCGCCCCCCTCCCGCAATCCTAAATCTCAAGAAACACAAGGGGCTATTCTTCCCCGACACAAAACAACCCTTCATGCCTTCCTAGCACAATGTGTCCCATCAAGCTCACATGCACCAGTTCTTCCTCCCCCCTCTCTCTCTGGGGAGGGCAGACTTGAAGAATCTGCACATGCAACCCTGGACAGCAAAGTGGTCAGAGGAAGTGTGCGAGCAAGCCAGGAGGGCCTTTCCTTCTTACCAGATAGGGTTGGCATTTACAGCATCGTCAAACCAAAGGATGCAGAGGCAGAAGAGGCCGACTATCACAGCATGGAGGGTGGACACACATCTAGGGAGGAGGATAAGACAGGGTTACCCCAGGACTGCAGTGCTTGTGTCACTCCCCCCCCCCCCCCGCATGGGCACTCATGTACACATTCTCATCTCTTTCCTGCAAAGCAAGCGATGCTCCAAGGCTTCTCACATGCTAAGCGGGGAGAGGTTCTCAAACTGAACTAGCTGAGAGTGAGTGTGTGAGAGAGCTGCAGGACTCTCCACGTCCCCCCTCCCCGACCACTTAAACATACTATACAGTGGTACCTCTGGTTACAAACTTACCGTATTTTTCGCTCTATAAGACACACCTTTTCCCTCCTAAAAAGTAAGGGGAAATGTGTGTGCGTCTTATGGAGCGGATGCAGGCTGCGCAGCTATCCCAGAAGCCAGAATAGCGAGAGGGATCGCTGTTCTGGCTTCTGGGATTCAGAATATTTTTTTCTTGTTTCTCTCCTCCAAAAACTAGGTGCGTCTTATGGTCTGGTGTGTCTTATAGCGCAAAAAATACGGTAATTCGTTCTGGTGGTCCATTCTTAACCTGAGGTACCACTTTAGCTAATGGGGCTTCCTGCTGCCGGTGCGCCACCGGCGCACCATTTCTGTTCTCATCCTGAGGTAAAGTTCTTAACCTGAGGTACTACTTCTGGGTTAGCAGAGTCTGTAACCTGAGGTGTTTATAACCCGAGTTACCCCTGTACCTGGAATTCCATTCGTTCTGCTTGACTGATGGAAGGGTGGAATATCTGGAACTCAGCGACAAAGATAACTGTGGGCTGACAGCGGAGAAGAAGAATTGGAAGGCCACAAAGCTGCCAGCCACAATACAGTAGCCCAGGCGGGTGGAGTCCTCCATTGGGTCTCAGCAACACCTGCAAGAAGACAAATGTGTATGGGTGTGTGTGGAGAGCTGGGGGGGGGGGGGAGAGGCAGAACAGAGTGGGGGGGGGCTACAAATTCACCAGAATCATGTGTTTGGAGTAAATAATATCTGCACTTGGCCCTGCACTTGATTTTTCTAAAGTGACACTAGCTTTGACCATGATCTTGACATTGAATAAAAGTTTATTAAATAGTCATAAAATCATAAATTGTAAAGAAAAGATAAAGGACCCCTGGACAGTTAAATCCAGTCATATGTGACTATGGGGTTGCGGTGCTCATCTCGCTTCAGGGCAAGGGAGCCGGCGTTTGTTCACAGACAGCTTTCCACGTCATGTGGCCAGCATGACTAAACTGCTTCTGGCGCAACAGGACACCGTGACAGAAGCCAGAGCGCACAGAAACACTGTTTACCTTCCCGCCGCAGAATTAGAAGGGACCCTAAGTATCATCTAGTCCAACCCCCTGCAATGCAGGAACATCCAGCTGTCCCATAAGGGGATCAAACCTGCAACCTTGGCATTATCAGCACCACAACAACTGAGCTATCCAGGATTAACTGGCTTATTCAGTAGTCAGCCGAGGCCCAGTATATTGTCAAGTGGTTTGCCAAAAAAGAAAGAAAGAAAAAAGGTTTGAGAACTGCTACACTAGGGGTAGCAGAGGAAGTCTTTTTGGTCTCAAAGCCACATAGCAAAGGGCACTGACCTGCTGCCTGGGTTGAGAGCACTATAGGGTCGATTACACACAGCCCAGTCTCTCCAGTTTACTCTGCCACAGGCAATATTGCAAATGACTCATAGTCTCAAGCTCTGAAGGACTGCAGCTTCTGTCCCACTCATTGATTGATGCAGCCACAGATATGGAGCCGGTTCTAGACAGTCGCATGGATCTGCAATTTTTGTGAATTGCAAGGCAGGAACATTTGGTTATATGCTTTGCTATGGCACATATATTCCTATTTTAAGAACAGGGTGGGAGTGCCCACTACTGGGCTGACAATTCACTGCATGGACCAAGTGGTGATGGTGGGGAAGAAGTTCCGTCTCTGATATATGGGGCAAAGTTAGGCTTGACCAGTGTGTCATAACACCATAAGGATTAAATGGCTGCACATGGTGTAAAATGCACGATATAGGAAGCACAAGTAGCACAACTATGTGGCAGCTTAGGAGGGGATCAGGCGTGTTATCTAAAGGAATTGCAAGTATGCCAAAGGGATAAGCGTCACTAGATCTCCCTCAGGGGTTTATGTACCCAGAACAATCTAAGCAGCAAGTGACAGGCAAAACTTTCAAAGGTGGGAATGTGCACTGATGACCCCCACACAGAGAATATAGGTAAGATAGCTGGTGACGTCCAGTTGGACGACAGGTTCTAAATGCTGGCAGAAAGAAGAAAAAGGGGAATCAGGCAAGACAAGAGGGATCTGTAAGACTAATGAGATTAAGAAGACCAGGCAAGAAAAGAGCCTCTAAAATGTAAAGGAGGAAGATCTGGTGCAAAATGGGTGGAGAGAAGGAAAACAGGTTATTTCTTAATATTCAAAATCCAGAGTTTGGGTGGGAAGACCTAAAAATGGAGAAGAACGGTAATTTTGGTTAGCAAGAATCAGCTGCATTAAAATGCATAGAAAACAAACCTGCAGTGTCGAGAGCAGCTGGCAAGGGTCAGGAGACTTCCTGAGCTGCGCACGAACAGGAGCAGATGAAGTGAAATACTGTATACTGTAGAAGTGAGCTTGGGCTTAGGATCAGTGGGATGAAGGGAGCTAAGGGAGGGAGGAGCGAAGGAGTGAAGCACAGAGGAGGCTGAAAAACTGAAGGAAGAGGCAAAGGAAAGGAAGGAGAGAGGAAGGAGAGGATAAGAGGCAAAAGGTTCCAGAACTATCTTGGTGACCGAATAAGAGAGATGAGAAGGCTGATGGAGAGGTGGAAGGAAGTTGCCTCCAGACTGCTACTGCTTAGCAGGAAAGTGTCAGGCGCATACTGGAAATTTAGATTTGCATAATTAAAGCACTGTCACAACAAATCCACTTGTAAAAAATAACAGCAAACACACAGGCTTCGTGCAGTTAGGAAATTGGTGGCAAAATGGACTAAAAAGTTTGGGCTCATGACTGACAGATGGAAAGACCTTTGTGCAAACAGATTTGGGTGAATGCTCTATAAAGAGCTGACATCATACAACACCAGTGTAAGTAAATCAGGTTGAATGCTCAATAAAAAGATTGTCTGGAGCAGCCTTTCTTTCCACAAGATCAAGAGGGTCACAATGCGGAGAAAATTTGACCAAAGGTAGCTGCTGAAGGAAGTTGTGTGGAAAGAGAATCTGGGGGTACCAGGCTGGGTGGTCAACATGCATGTAGAAACTCCCAAGAACGAAGGGAGACAGGAGTATTATCAGAGACAAAAAAGGTGATTCTCTCAGAACTAGACAGAAATGAGGAGACAAAACTAAAGGGGTCAGCAGACAATAGCTACAAGAGGACGGGAGTAAATAATGAATTTTCACGGAAGGAAAATAATATGAGAAAATATATGTGTGTGTAGGAAGGAGACTAGGGCAATTGGGAGTACAACTACCAAGTAGCGGGGTAGGAGAGCTGAAAATAATGCAAATATATTTCTCATCTGCCAACCAATGTACCCCTTTGGTAGTACATGAAACCAAAGGGGTGCATTGGTTGGCAGGCATTTTTTTTTTTTCAGTTCTCCTACCCCACTATAGAGCTCTGTGAGTTGGAAGAAAAAGTTGTTGATGAAAGTTTAGCCAGCTAGAGGCAGAGGAGCGGCCTGATGGCTATTAAGTGCCCTCCAGTAGCTGAAAGCAACAACTTGGTAGCAGAGAGACAAATCTTATCAGATAAGAGCAACGTTTTAGAGAACATGCTGCCCCACACCAGCTCGTCTGTCTCAGATCAGAACCCACATTCGTTCCAAAGGAATCTAGAGCACATGATCAGTCCATGCACAGCACAAGTGCAATCGCACTGCTATTTCTATCAACTGTGAATGTGGCATGGAATACACCCAATATTCCCCTGCAGCTCCACACAGCAGAATTAAATTGGTAGTGTGGTAATCATGTTGTCCTTCCAAAAAGCAGGCCCATCAAATAAGGGCAAGAGTGTTCCTCTCAATGGATTGCCCAGGTCTCCCTCTCTCCTGTCTGACTCCTACATTGGGCAGTTCTCTATAGTTTGGTGTCAGACGATTAGCTTGCCTAGTCTAGTCCGCTACTTTTCTCTCCAAGGTACTGGGGTCTTCCCCAACTCTGCTATTGGAGCTCCTTTAAGTGGAGATGTACAAGGCCCTGTGGGACATATAATGCAGAGAGGCATCCCAAATCATATGGAAGCTACAGCCTATAGGAAGAACGTTTCGTTTGAATGAATTATGAGTGTCGGAGTGGGCAGTCCTGAGCTAGTCAGAACTAATGGTCTGACTAAGACAGCTCCCTATGTTCATATGGCAAGTGTATTTGAAAACAACAAAAAAAAGCTGTCCAGCCAAGGCTCGCGGACCTCTCCGCAAGCAGCGGCAGCACTGCCGCTGCTTGCGGAGAGTTGCCGGCATGCCGAAGCCAGCGCGCGCTGAGATCAGCGCGCCCAGGCTTCGCGGACCTCTCCGCGAGCAGCGGCAGCGCTGCCGCTGCAAGCGGAGAGTTGCCGGCATGCCGAGCCTGCGCGCGCTGAGATCAGCGCGCCCAGGCTCCGCGGACCTCTCCGCGAGCAGCGGCAGCGCTGCCGCTGCTTGCGGAGAGTTGCCGGCATGCCGAAGCCGGCGCGCGCTGGGATCCGCGCGCCCAGGCTTCGCGGCCCTCGCCGGCCTTCAAATGCCGTCCGGGAGAGCGGGCAGCGCTTCCTGCTATCCCGGACTGCTTTTAAAATGCTGGCGGTGGGGAGCAAAGCCTTCGGCCCCCGCCAGCCTTCCTGGACCTCTTCTGAAGGCCGGAGGGGGGAAGGCTTTGCTCCCCACCGCTAGCATTTAAAAGAGGTCCTCGGAGATTTCCCTATGGGCTTCGCCTTGCGAAGCAAGCCCATAGGGAAATTGCTTACGAGCGCCTCCAAAACGGAAAACCCTTTCGTCTAGCGGGTTTTCCGTCTTGCGAGGCGTTCGTCTTGCGGGGCACCACTGTACTTGCCAGGTGTTCAAAAACACATGTTCATGTTGGAAACCAGAGGAACATGAAACTGCCTTGAAACCAACATGTGTGTTGCAGAATGAGGAAATGGGCATCTGCTCTTGATTCACAGACTTCCAATGGCTGCAGGATTTCTAAACACTCCCCCCACGTCCACATATGCAGAAGTCACACAACTGCACCTGGTCTCTGCACAGTTCTCAAGGGCATCTTGCACAGAGATCTGGATGCACAGCAGAAATGTGTTTGGCTGGCTTTATTTCTATGTTTGCTGGTCTGGACTGAATTGTTTGATCAAGGTGCATCCTGTTCAAAGCCCAGATTCCAGGAAGGAGTTGTAAAGGCCTGCCACAGGACAGGGCAGCTGGAGATTAAGCCTGCAACCTTGTGCACATTTAAAGAGTGACTACTCCGAAGTCCCATTGATTTCACTGGCGTTTACTCCCATACTAGAGGGCTGTACCCTTACTTGTTAGCAACTGTCATTTAATTCAGTGGGGCTGACTTCTGAACAAACAGACCCAGGATTAACTCGTACAGTTAAGGTAAAGGTAAAGGGACCCCTGACCATTAGGTCCAGTCGTGACCGACTCTGAGGTTGCGGTGCTCATCTGGCTTTATTGGCTGAGGGAGCCGGTGTACAGCTTCCGGGTCATGTGACCAGCATGACTAAGCCGCTTCTGGCAAACCAGAGCAGCACATGGAAATGCCGTTTACCTTCCCGCCAGAGAAGGTAATACCACCTATTTATCTACTTGCACTTTGATGTGCTTTCAAACTGCTAGGTTGGCAGGAGCAGGGACCGAGCAACAGGAGCTCATCCCGTAGCGGGGATTCGAACCGCCGACCTTCTGATCGGCAAGTCCTAGGCTCTATGGTTTAACCCACGCGCCACCCGCTCATACAGTTACTTTACGACAAATTTGTGAGCGTGATCACAAGAAAAAACAACCTTGAACTGGTTCTAAAACAGTACAACAAGGTGTGCTGTTAACTACCCAACACATGTCTGTTCAATCTTTCTCTGACTGTCCCCTCCTTGAAAAAAAATCAAGCAAGACCAACAGCTTCTCTAGGATATCTGTTCTGAACTGAACCCAAACCAACCTCCTTGTGATTCATGGCCATTGCTGCTGTTCACATAGGGAATGGCTGTTCCCTCTCTTCTTTCTGAAATCCTTTAAAATATTTCTGAACTAAACAGCCTAATCTTGCCCTCCTAATCTTCTTTCCTCCAGGCTAAACATTTCAGAGTGCCTTTGGTCCTTCTTTCACAGCAGGGCAGGTAGCAAGGGTTGGAACTGCTGGACTCCCTCAGAGGCTCATGCCTGGGCCAAGGCTTCACTGCCATTCCCAAGGTATTCCATCCTGCTGCTGTTGCTCCTTCTTGCTGCCCGTTCCCCTGCCCTCATTGAGTGAATAGGCAGTGATGGATGTGCAAAAGGTCCTTGCTTTAATCCCTGGCATCTGAAAGTACAGCTGAAGTGATGGTAGGGCTTCATATAAGGCAGTTTCTTAACTACTAATTTGTCAGCATCCTGCTTTGAGTTGTGTTGCTAGTACTGAATTTTGCAATAGATTTGTTCTGCTTCTCAAATGATTGCAATGAGGCTCCTGTTCGTACAAGCTGACCACCACCACTTACGCATCTCCCAAAAGGTTTTACAGTTTTCTCTCTTTGACACCTTCTGCGTGCAAAACACGTCTTCTACCACTAAGCCATGTCCCCTTCCAGTAGGAGCTATCTATGAATTTGAGTGGAGGAGTGCTATGGCAATCATTCCATCAACAGAAGCTTTTTCAGCTTGCCATACAAAATTCTCCTCACTATTAGCCCTGTGTGCTGGGTGTTTTTTTTGGGGGGGGGGTCTCCCGGCACACACCCACCCCAAGACAATTTAGAGGAGCACAGGGGGAGAAGAGGAGAGAAAGCCCCACTGTGCCAACAGAAGTTCTTGCATGAGCCTAACAATGTTTCTTAAATTTGGGTCTCCAGCTGTTGTTGAACTACAACTCCCATCATGCCTAGCCAGCAGGACCAGTGGTCAGGGATGACGGGAGTTGTAGTCCAACAACCATTTAAGCAAGTGTGACACTAGTCAAGCCCAAGGGATATGACAGGGACATTCTTATGTATATTACACCACATATGCAGGTCCCTATATCCTGGGGTGGTTTTGCTGTGATCTATTGAGATGCGGAGCCATGCAGTTCCAAGAGACAGGTGGGATTGCAAGCATGGCTCTATGCCATATCCAAACCCACATGCCTTCCAGCTGCTGCTCAGGTGTGCCATAAACCCCTGCATGAAGATTTTTACAGGTGAGGGCTGGCTCTGCATACCACCTTCCCATGAAATAAAATCTAGTTTTAACTGAAGTACTGGTCTAACTACTTAATTGTGTAAAGTGCTGCTGGATTTTTATTTTTATTTTGATCTGTTTTATCTGAATTGCTCAGCTCAGCCATGTACTGTTCCTAGGTTGCTGTTTTGTTTTTTTAATGGTTTGCTTTCAGTTATATTTTATGGTTTTGAATGTTTATGTAAGCCACTGTGGGAGAGCTATCAAAGGCGGCGTATTATAGATATTGCAACAGAAATAAATAAATAAAAGCAAAGAGCACCTATTTTGGCTATGGCACTTCAACTGAGGAATTTCCTCCTTCAGTACCATGGCATGTGCCAAGCCTGCGGCTCTCTAGTCAATGAATCTCAGGAAGCAGGGTTGGGGGAAACGCATGTGCAAGGTTTCAGAGAGCTGCTGCCAATCAAGGTAGAATTCCTAGCATTATAGACAACGGCCTGACTCAGCAGAAGGTAATTTTTTTTATGTTCTTGGACACATCACAGTACCTGTCACCTAATAACCTTTGGAATTTCTTCCAGTCTTGCAGGTCTCAGATGGAAGTTTTAACCTGTGCAATGAGCCTTCATATATACACTTCAACAGGTCGGCTTAAACTTGCTCAATCGTTGACATACAGTCCAATTCTGTGCATGCCAGCCCAGAAGTAAATCCCACTGAATTAAAAGGCTCTTACTCCCAGGAAAGTGTGTCTAGGACCACAGCTTAAAGCAGGCATGTTCAAAGTCTGTTCTGGGGGTCTAATCCGGACAACCGGCCCTAAAAACTTCAACAACCTCAATCCTAAAAAAAGGTCAACAACTTTGGTTGGCCCTTTGGTCAGCCCTCACAGCCCTTCACTTCATCAAATCTGGCCCTCTTTGAAAAAAGTTTGGACACCACTGGTTAAAGCTAAATATGTAGGCTTAAAAACTGCACATGCTGCTGGCTGTTACAAAGCAAGTGATCTCACACTTATTTACATTTCCAAAGAATTCCACATATATAGCGGAGAGCATGTTCAGCCATACAACTGCAGCAGTTAAGTTATTTTGTCTAGAAAATATACTCCCTGTGCCGCTATAGGACTTTACTTGCTGGACTGCTCTGTTAATGATGCTCTGAATCACACATGCAGGCAAAACATACTCTGGGCTTCCCCACCCTTTTTGAGGCTGCGGTTCCCTTTGCCACGGGGCGCGTCTCCCTCTTGCCACGTATTTGCCATAGTAATTCACCCCCAAGGTCCCAGTTTACCAGAAAGGTCAAGGAGCCAGTTCTCCGGCTTCTCTATATTCAAACGGGATGGGGAGGTAGTAGGAGATATTATCGCGGAACCAGAGAAATATGCCCCCGGGCCGGTGAAAGATGGTTAACTGGACCCCCTAAGAAGAGTGTGCTGGATCAGGCCAATGGACCACCTAACCCAGCATCCTGTTCTCACCGTGGCCAACCAAATGCCCATTATGGGAAACTAGCAAACAGGATCCGAACCCGAGAGACCCTTCCCGCGGTTTCCAGCAACTGGTGTTCAGACGCACAGCTGCCCGTGCGCCTCCAGCTGTGGAGGAGGCGGGGCGCACAGCCCTCCAACCAGCCACCGTGGCCACCGGTAGCCCTCGACAGCCACGGAAACGCACGGCATGTCGCAGCAACGCTTTGACTTCCTTGCGCAATAACGAGAAAACAAAATGTCCTTCGCTTTGGGGGAAAGGGGACTCCGCTTCAGCCTGGATTCCTCGCTGAACGCTGCCCATTCCAAAAGGGACCTTGGAGACCCCTCTCATCCCCAAAGCAGGACGGTTGGCGACGGACAGAGCCTCTCCAAAAGCCGGTTCTGCTCGCGCCCCGCCGGGGCGAACAGCTCGCAAGACCCACCTGACACCCAGCCGAGCCCCTCCAGCTCCCGCTTGCCCGACGTCCGAGCTTCAGTCCGGCCGCTTGGAGGTCCCGACCTGCCGGGCTCTCGCGCCTCAGCCTTCGGCGCCGCCACGCGCAAAGGCGCACGCACCTCCCTCCGGCCGCGCCTGCTGCTTTGCGCAGGGACACCGAGACGCCCGCGACGCTGCGGGGGCCCCAGGCAGGCGACACTCCCCCCCCCCCCGGGCTCCACCTCCTCCTTCTCCAGCCGGACCACAGGAGGCCAGCGCCGCCCCGCTTCCCCGGCCTCCTCCAACCGGCGGCCTCCGCGCCGCCCTCGCTCCCGCCCAGATCCGCCCCGCAGACGCCGCGAAGGGGCGTGGGAAGCGGGCAGACCAAAGCGAGCGGGGGCGAGAGGTCGTTGCACCCGGCCGGGCGCGCGGTGCCACGAACCCGGAGAGAAAGCCGCTCCGAGGCCAGCTCCGAGACTAATCAGCTGAGGCTGGTGGTGTTTTATTTTACTTTACCAGCAAATAAGCCTCGCCACGCAGCTTGTTAGTAGTAAATCCACAGCATGAGTACCAATTATTATTATTATTATTAATTTTTATTTATACTTTTCAGATTTATACATTTCACTAATTTTACAGTCGTTTGAACATTTCAGAACTTGACTTCCTTCCCCCTCACTCTGCGGCTCCTTAAATTTATTTTTGATATCTTCTACATATCCAAGTTAACTTAATTTGCTCACTTATTCATCTACTTTCAAACTGCCGATAATCCTGCCCATGTTGTTATCTGCTTACAATTTATCTGTAAATATGTAATAAACCATTTCCATTCTTTTATATTAAAAAGTTTGTTATCTTGATTTCTTATTCTTCTAGTAAGTTTCACCATTTCTGCATATTCTGTAAGTTTTCGTATCCATTCTTCCTTTGCTGGGACTTCTGCTTCTTTCCATTTTTAAGCAAGTAACATTCTTGCCGCTGTACATGAATAAGTTTCTATACAGTGTCGGTAGTTCTGTCCCTATAATTCCCAAAAGAAAGGCTTTTGGTTTGTTTTTCAAATGATAAAATGATATACAGTGGTACCTCGGGTTACATACGCTTCAGGTTACATACGCTTCAGGTTACAGACTCTGCTAACCCAGAAATAGTGCTTCAGGTTAAGAACTTTGCTTCAGGATGAGAACAGAAATCGTGCTCCGGCGGCACAGCGGCAGCAGCAGGAGGCCCCATTAGCTAAAGTGGTGCTTCAGGTTAAGAACAGTTTCAGGTTAACTACGGACCTCCAGTACGAATTAAGTACTTAACCCGAGGTACCACTGTATAATGAATTGAAATGATAGATAATGAATGGGAAAGGATGTTTAAAATAGCATAAGTAGCAATTACAAGGAACAGGCTTAAGAAATAAGGCAAACTGCTTAGTTCCCAAGGAGTCGTCTCTCCATTTGCTTTCATTGCATTGCATTGGCCTCTGATCTCATACGTAGACAATCTCCCTCAGGCATTTCTCTATTTATTTCGTTACATACTGTACTAAATTACCTTTCCACCAAGAAACTCAAGGCGGCAGATATAGTCCTTCTCCTGCTCCTCCCCATTTTATCATCACGGCAACCCTGTGAGGTAGTTTGGGCTGGGAAGTGAGTGACAGGCCCAAGGTCACCCAGGAAGTTTCTCTGGGGCTGAGCAGATTTGAACCCTGGTCTCTCTCTCCCAGGTCCTAGTCCAACACTACACTGGCTCACCACACTGGCTGTTGTGGGGAATTTTATTATATATGCAGAGATTTATCAACTGTCAGAACATGCTGACAAAGTGGGCCCCTGCTCCATGGAAGCTTGTGTCATTAAAACGTGCTTATATTTCAAAGTGAAAGTTTAAGAAGTAGATGAGCAAGCCCGCTCCCCTGTGCCAAATGCGCCCTCAGGCTCTCCCAAGCACCCCTGCCGCTTCAGCCCATGGGGCATAGGTGCTAACTCCCTGGGGACTTGGGTGCCTGAACACCCACAAAATTCCTCATGAAGGGGCTAAAGGTAAAGGTAAAGGGACCCCTGACCATTAGGTCCAGTTGTGGCTGACTCTGGGGTTGCGGCGCTCATCTCGCTTTATTGGCCGGGTCATGTGGCCAGCATGACTAAGCCGCTTCTGGCAAACCAGAGCAGAGCACGAAAACACCGTTTACCTTCACACCGGAGTGGTACCTATTTATCTACTTGCACTTTGATGTGCTTTCGAATTGCTAGGTTGGCAGGAGATGAAGGAGCTAGGCATCCACAAATTTTGGTGCAAGGGCCATGCACACTGCATGGCACCCACGGCCCTGGGCACCCACGGTCGCAGGGCCAAGTTGGCACTCTTGCCATGGGGGAATGAAGGCACCGATGCCCGGCCATATAAGCAGCTCAGCTATCGCTGCTCACTTCCTCCAAGGGCACCTGGCTTGCTGGGGTGGTGGGGAGGGAGATCATGTGCCCTCCATTACCCCTCCCTGCCTCTCTCCTTGGCATGGGCATAGCAGGGGGGGGCAGAGAGGGGCAGCTGCTCCCCACAAGTAAAACTACAGAAATACTTAACTGACCAATCACAGCGGTTCTGCCCCCCCCAAGTCCTGACGATCCCCCCCAACAAAAATCCTGGCGACACCCATATTCCCTGGGTGTCCTCACAGTGCCTTTGCAGCCTGGGAGCTGGTGGACACTGTGGAGGAGATCCCATTAACAGTGCACCCCTTTTTGAAGCATGAAATTTAGACCAGGAATACACATGCAAAATAGATTTACACATGCCATGTTTAATCATCATCATCATTTTTAATTTGTATACCGTCTTTCTATCTTACAATACTCAAGGCGGTTTACAAGCTGAAGAAAGAAAAAATGTACATCTTATAACAATCTAATGCAATACAAAAATGTGATAATAAAACATAACTTTAAAATAGGCAACCTACATCAAAAAAGTAACATTCAACAATCATTAGAATAGTATAAAATAATAATATCAACATATAAAAGTTAAACAGAAATCCACTCAACAGTTACAGTAAATAATATCTAAACCATAATCAATAAAACAATGGCAAGCCACAGTATATAAAACAATACAATACAATAGCTGGAGGACTAAAGCAGGAGTACTATTCCTAACAAAAACACATTTCGAAAGCTTTCATTCTTCCTAAGAGCTAATGATAGCAAAACACTGGAGACAGGTAAACTGTAATTTAAGGGAAGAGTGGTGCGGACAACTTTGAAGGGTTGCCTTAATTGCAGGGTCAGCAAAGTGAGGCCTTGGGCAGCTGGATCCACAGAGACAACAGATCTGGGCTGTAAGGAATTTATCTCCCACTGCCTCAGTTATTGCTACAACCATAGAGACATCCACACAGTCTGTGGCACATTCAATGGAGGCTAGATCCACCTCCTCTTTGGAAGCGCCTCACCCCCCCCCCATGCCATTGGCCTTTTGGGCAAGAGGAGGTGCTGCTGGTCTTTTCCCACCATTATTCCCAATGTAATTATTATTATTATTATTATTATTATTATTATTATTATTTTATTATTTATACCCCACCCATCTGGCTGGGTTTCCCCAGCCACACTGGGTGGCTTCCAACAAAACACTAAAATACAGTAACCTATTAAACATTAAAAGCTTCCCTAAACAGGGCTGCCTTCAGGTGTCTTCTAAAAGTTTGGTAGTTATTTTTCTCTTTGACATCTGGTGGGAGGGCTTTCCACAGGGCGGGTGCCACTACTGAGAAGGCCCTCTGCCTCGTTCCCTGTAACTTGGCTTCTTGAAGCGAGGGAACCGCCAGAAGGCCCTCAGAACTGGACCTCAGTGTCTGGGCAGAACAATGGAGGTGGAGACGCTCCTTCAGGTATACTGGACCGAGGCCGAGTATAACTATACCGCCCTTTATTCCTGGTGTAGATCTTCAGTCACCCCTTCTTCCCTGGTGGTGGTAGGGCCAACCTCAGGTGCCAAAATGTATTGGGCCAGCCCTGCCTCAATGGCCAAAATAACTTAACAAATGAGATAATGAGCCCGGCTTCGGCTGGGGAGGGCAGGATATAAATAAAAATTTATTATTATTATTATAAAGGAAAGGTCCATTTTTTTAAAAGACCCTTTTCCGGAGAAGTGTTTTATATCATACAAAGTTGGATTTTGGGGTGTCAGCTTGTATTCCCAGTTTCAGTTATTTCTCAGTCGGGGGTTATAAAACTTACATACGCTCAACAATGTTGCCAAAGAGATCAGCTAGCTTGGAGAACTTGGAACATACCCTAGGAAGGAAGGAACACACCTGAAGGAATCGGTGACAAAATTTGCAAAGGGAAATGCCTGAAATCAGAACTTTTCAGAGACTTTACATTGTAACACTAACATTCGCAAGATTGCTCGAAACGATTGCGCGCCAAAACGTTTTCTTTTGTAGTATTTGAGAAAGGTAGTCAAAGATCGTTGCATTACTTGTGATTGCAATTTAAAGTAAGTGGAGAGCTTTCCAGTTTCGTGATTGTCGTCTCTCTCCCCCCCCCCACAGGATACCTGCTTTTAGAAATTGAAGTTAAGCCATTTTGGGGGGTTAAGTTCGTGTGCGTGCAAAAAGTTAGCCTGGACTAGGGCGCAGTCACGAAATTAAAAGACGCCTGCTTCTTGGGAGAAAAGCAATGACAAACCTAGACAGCATCTTAAAAAGCAGAGACATCACCTTGCTAACAAAGGTCCGTATAGTTCAGGGGGCTGCAACCCTCGGCTCCGGAGCCGCATGTGGCTCTTTTACACCTTTGCCGCGGCTCCGGGACGGATACTAGCAAGGGGAGGAGGCACATTGTGCGCCCCGACACTCCCCACTGCGGCGGGCGCTGTACTGGCTGTGACGTCGCATGGGGGCGGTGCGTGCGTTAGTCACGCACTGTCCCGACGTCACCTTCCCGCCCACCCGCCCGCCCGCTACATTTTAAGGGGCATGTACGCTGGTCACTGCATTGAAAGGGGGCATGTACGCTGGTCACTGTTTTGAAGAGGAGTGAAGAACACACACACACAAAAAGGTAACTTGTTAATTTAACGTTTATTTCTATGAGGAGGAGTAATTCTGAGGGGTCAAACAAAAAAATAATAAAAAAGTGACAAAAAAGTTATTTTTATAATGACGAGTTTTACGGCTCCCAGATTTTTTTCCTTCGGAAACGGGTCCAAGTGGCTCTTTTTGTCTTAAAGGTTGCAGACCCCTGGTATAGTTAAAGCTATGGTTTTCCCTGTAGTGATGTATGGAAGTGAGAGCTGGACAATAAAAAATGCAGATCACCGAAGAATGGATGCTTTTGAAGTATGGTGCTGGAGGAGACTCTTGAGAGTCCCATGGACTGCAAGAAGATCCAACCGATCCATTCTGAAGGAAATCAGCCCTGAGTGCTCACTGGAAGGACAGATCCGGAAGCTGAGGCTCCAGTACTTTGGCCACCTCATAAGAAGAGAAGACTCCCTGGAAAAGACCCTGATGTTGGGAAAGATGGAGGGCACAAGGAGAAGGGGACGGCAGAGGACAAGATGGTTGGATAGTGTTCTCGAAGCTACCAGCATGAATTTGACCAAACTGCGGGAGGCAGTGGAAGACAGGCGTGCCTGGCGTGCTCTGGTCCAGGGGGTCACAAAGAGTCGGACACGACTAAACGACTAACGACTAAACAACAACAACAGGATACCTGATTTTAGCCATTTTTGGGGGGGAGAAGTTCGTGTGCGTGCAAATAGTTCTCCTGGACTGGGGCGCAAAATAGCGTGGGAACGTCATCCCCCCATTGCTAACCCGGCATCAGCGGCTGGCTTCCCGCCTTGCATGCACTTTGCAGGAAAGGCGCAGCGGTATCTTGCCGCAGCTGAACTGGGACCCCTTCGGGGCAGCCCCGCCGATCGCGCAGGTCCTAAGGAACCCCAGATTTCGCCGCTCGCTCCCTCGCTCGCCTCTGAAGCGCCGCGAACCAGCCGCTTCGTTCGGGGAGGAGCTTGAGGGCGAGGCCCCGCCCTCTCCCGCTGATTGGGCAGCTTGCGAAGCCGACGTCACGCGGAGAGGTTTCAAGATGGCGCTGCCCGGTAAGGGAGGTCAGTTGTGGGTGAGGGGCTTCTGGGTAGGGGGGGGTGGCTCCGGGGAAGGAGAAAGCTGGAAGCTCCGAATACTTGACAGCCGTGTCGGTTATTCCCCATAGATTATGTCCTACCATGTCATTACCGGGTTGTTGGGGGTTCGTTTTTTTAAAAGTAACGTGTGAATGTCAAACACGTGTTTGTGATCACGTGTGTTGCAGCGGCTTCGAATCCCCCTCGTATGTGGCAGCCCTCCCGTAGAAACTGACCTCAAGTCTAAATAGCCCGATTTTTATAGTGAGAATAGTGGTCGATTGCCTTGCACAAGTGAAGACCAGCCTTTCCAAACCTTGGGGTCCTCAAAGTGGTTTTGGGCTACCGACTCGCATCACCCCCAGATAGCAGGATAGTCAGGGATGGTGGGAGGTGTCATCCGACCACACGTGGGGAACCCAAAGTTGTGGGAGGCTGAGTTTAGACTGACCTGTAAATGGAAGGGTAATGATAACTGTAGGAGCTATTTAACTGTCTTTGAATATGCCTGCGGTTGCTTCCTCATATTATCTAACTTGGCCTGTGAATGCCCTGTGGCTCCTCTCATGAGGTAAGGGGAGGTAGGAAGGTAAATAAATAAATGTTTGCCCCAGTTAGCTTTGAATGTGTATAGTATACTAATGAATTCCAGCTGTCTTCTAGCAAGAAGAAAAACAATCTCTCAAAGGACCTGTTGATGGCATTTTACCATTGTAATTAACTTATGGTCTGTGTGTGTGGTTTGGGAGCTGCACGGCCAGGGAAAAAACAACATTGTCCAGGGTTGTAAAGACTGCAGAGAAAATAATTGGGTGCACTCTTCCCACCTTGGATCAAATCTGTGCTTCCAGGTGCCATAAGAAAGCTGCAGAGATAAGTGCGCACCCTGGAAATGATCTCTTTCAGCTTCTGCCTTCTGGAAGAAGGTACAGGGTTATAAAGACGAGGACTAACCTCCTGAGAAACAGTTTCTACCCAAATGCAATTCTGGCTTTAAACGCAGTACTGTATAAGGAGTCTCTATAGGAGTATATTGTATTTTAAAATGGGGTTTCAGAGTTTTTAGGGGTTTTTGAATGTCTTACGTAGATTTTCAATTTCATTGTTCTGTATGGGACAATGACAATAAAGATATCGTATCATATCGTAAGGTGCCTAACAAATCAAGCTACCTACACTTGACATGTTTAAAGAGGGGTGCATATCAGATGGGAAAGTTTTGTACATGTTGGGCCTGGCATGCTGGCATAACAGAATGTAGTCTAGCTCTGTAGCTGTGGTAATTGAGAGTAAAAGAAAGTTCATATCCCAGTAACTTTCTTATACTACAATCTCTGACACTGAGCAGATTTCTGTCCTTCCCAAACTCTGTGTTTCAGGTGTAGCTGATGGATGTGGGCTGTAGCCTTTTGCCAGAAGCAGCATTTTGCTGTATTTTGCTGCTCAGTTCTGGAAAGACAGGCTGCCGCCATGAACTGCTTGTGGACGTTACTGCTGGCCCAGAAGCTCTCTGCTGGAAGGGGCATTCTGCTGATGAAGGCTGCTTCTAAGAGGGATCTCCAACAGCTTCTGAGAAGCGACTGTCTCCAGGTAAAAGTGTATCTAAGCAGTTCTCTTTTGCCTTCTTGAAGGTATACTTCAGATTCACAGAAATCTGTGCCGGTTCCTAGGTTCCGGGTTAAATTGTTTGGGGTCTGATGCCTGTCATTCTGTGAAGTTTACTGACTCAAAATTCTTTGGACTTATCCACACTTCCCTTTTGTCCACGCTTTCTAGACACAGGTCTGCACTTTTAAGCTCAGTTTCTGAGTGCTCTTTTTTCTGCCCTGGAGGTTTCCCCACTAAAACCTGCTCTTTAAAGCTGAAGCACAACAAACAGCAATGCAGGTTTACTTTGGATTGCTGTTTGCTCTGATTCAGTGGTAAAGAGTGGGTTTTCACAGGGAGAAAAAAAAAGAGCAACCCCCCCCCCAAACTAAGCACTCAGACATTGAAACTTTAAAGTGTGAATTGTGCCTGGAAAGCAGGGTGGATAAAAATAAATGATTTTTAAAAATAAATAAATAAATCAGATTTATTTTTTTTATTTAAATTGGATTTTTAAAATAAAATGCTTTTGGAGGGAAAATCTTTCTAAATATAGTTTTCTATTTAAGTTACATTATAGTCCAAAGACAATTCATCAGGAAATAAGGATTTTTAAAAAGTTTTTCACGTGTGCTAAAACTCTTAAGGTTGTTTTTTTTAAAAAAATCATTTAACCACATCAGTTAACAAACATGGATACATATGCTATAATGTTACTGTTTTAGTTAAATAAATGGTTTAAATTGTTATTAAGGAAATGATTATTTTTCTCCTTCCAATAAAATACAGCTGAAAAGTTGTCCAAATATAAACAGTTATTAAACCTCACAATAATTTCATAATTATCTGTCACTGGCTTTCTAATTGTATAACCAAATCAATAATTTTTGATATAACTGTAAAAACTACTCTGAAAATTTATTATTCCAAAAATGAAACCTTCATCATATTAAGATTATACCAGCAAGAATGAGTCTTCCTGTTAAAAAAAGAGAAGATGTCAATCAAATCTTACTGACTAGTGATTTAAATCGTGATTTAAAACGATTTGGTTTAAATCAAATCCACTCTGCTAGAAAGCATGGAGGAAAGGTAAGTGTGGCTAAGCCCTTTGTTTGTTTCTCTTTCTTAGAACAGGTTGGGTACTGTGAGGAGCATCCGGGTAAGCACAGCACTTTGCACTACCACCCCTTCAAAGGGTGATGGAGACAATGACAAAGAATCCACCCAACAAGCCTTGGTGACTGTTGAAGATATCTTTGAGAGCACCACTGAAACTGCAAAGACTAAAGCCACGTTTCAGGAAGCTGTGGACATCTTCTGCAAGCGGGACATTCGCCACAGGGGGCACGTGGAATTCATCTATGCAGCGCTGAAGAAGATGCCAGAGTATGGGGTAGAGAAGGACATTAATGTCTACAACAAAATCTTGGATGTCTTCCCCAAGGAAGTATTTGTGCCTCGCAATTTCATCCAGAGGATGTTCAATCACTACCCTCGACAACAGGAGTGTGGTGTCCAGGTGCTTGAGCAGATGGAGACCTATGGTAGGCATGCAAGAGCGTCAGTAGTTTCCAAGGGGTGTGTTAATAATAATGTTGTTGTTGTTTCGTCGTTTAGTCGTGTCCGACTCTTCGTGACCCCATGAACCAGAGCACGCCAGGCACTCCTGTCTTCCACTGCCTCCAGCAGTTTCCTCAAACTCTTGCTGGTAGCTTCGAGAACACTATCCAACCATCTTGTCCTCTATCGTCCCTTTCTCCTTGTGCCTTCCATCTTTCTCAACATCAGGGTCTTTTCCAGGGAGTCTTCTCTTCTCATGAGGTGACCAAAGTATTGGAGCCTCAGCTTCAGGATCTGTCCTTCCAGTGAGCACTCAGGGCTAATTTCCTTAAGAATGGAGAGATTTGATCTTCTTGCAGTCCATGGGACTCTCAAGAGTCTCCTCCAGCACCATAATTCAAAAGCATCCATTCTTCGGCGATCAGCCTTCTTTATGGACCAGCTCTCACTTCCATACATCACTACTGGGAAAACCATGGCTTTAACTATACGGACCTATTATTATTATTATTATTATTATTATTATTATTATTAATTATTTATACCCCACCCATCTGGCTGAGTTTCCCCAGCCACTCTGGGCGGCTCCCAATTGAGTGTTAAAAACAATACAGCATTAAATATTAAAAACTTCCCTAAACAGGGCTGCCTTCAGATGTCTTTTAAAGATAGAATAGCTGTTTGTGATTTGATCAGCGTTTGAGACTCCTACGAGTTAGCTGAAGAACTTGGCAATAGTTTTGTGTTGCAGGAATCTCAAATATTGTCAACACATTGTAGGAAGGGAGCTATTAGTGAAGGGATATACATTTTAAGTTATGTATACATTCTGTATTTATGATGAATAATCGTGGACATCTCAAAGCTATCTTTTACTAGTCCTATAAAAGAAACAGTTATCTCCTCATCTAGTTTCTTCTTGTTACTCCTTCTTATAATTAACCAGTACTCTTCTTTTTAATTATTGGTTAGCAAATCAGTATTATTTTTGGTAGTACTTGGAATTTATTTATTTCTGTTTGATACTCTGAATGACTTTGAGGGCTTAATAGTGGGGAAATGGGATACAAATGGAAGAGTTAGGGATAGTGAGGACATTTAAGTCCCTTAAATAATGAAAGCATGGACCTTTCCATCAGCCTAGGGTGATCATAAATATTTTCAAAATGCCGCATAAGTTTTCTAAATAATCAGCAGAGCCTGCTGAACTAGTGTCAAACACTGCCATCCGAACAAACATAGCTGGAGAACTTAGCAGAGAGATTTTCCTTCACTTGAAGGAGTCCCGTCTTTTTACTTTGGAGGGATTGTGGACAACATAGTGTGATGGTATGGGAACCACACATGGCCCAGTGGGTCTACTCTGAGTAGATAATTTATTACGGCCAAAGACCAGCTCACATAACATAACACAATAAAAACAGCATTCATAAAGATAAAATATACAATCGGAGCAGATTGCAGCCATAGCTCATGAGTTAAAATTATACATACACCCGTACAACTGAGATTTGGGCTACCATAAAAAATTGATCCTGAGGTGCCCCAAAGGGCAACTTCAGCATTTCCCTAGTAAGCTATTTTATTCCAGAGAATGATCTGTGCCTACAAATCTGGGCGCAGAATCTGGCTACCAGCCAGATCGTCTTATGATCTTTGCCTAAGAGGAGAGAATTAAGTTTAGACTTGTCCGAAAGATCGGTGAGCCTCTTCAGCAAAGGAGCAATGGTGTCTCTAAGAATCTCAACATAAAAAGGACAGCTAAAAAAATATATGTTCCAGGCTTCCTATTTCCCCTAATGGGCAGGTGCAAAGTCTCCATAGCCCAGTGTAATTCTTTATACTGTTAATGTGTGGAACTGGAACATTATGGGGCGAGACTGGTGGGGAAGTGGCGCTTGTGTCTCATAGTGAGCTCTGAAGGACCAAGCAGTATAGAGCATGTGCCCTTAAGTTGCAGCTTCACCAATTAAAATGGTCCCCCGCTGAATCGCTAAGTACAGCCTCCAGTCTGGGGTCCAGACACTTGGAGTCATATTTCATGAGTGGGGAAAGGAGTTCCTGCCACACTCATCACAGGCTTGTCATTCCTCTTGCTCTGAAGGTATCATGCCGAACAAGGAGACAAAGCTTCTGCTCCTCCGGATCTTTGGGGACAAGAGCCACCCGGTGAGGAAATACCAGAGGATCATGTACTGGTTTCCTAAATTCAAGCACATCAACCCTCACCCAGTTCCAGATCCTCTGCCAAAGGACCCTGTAGACCTGGCAAGGCTGGGCCTGCAGAGAATTGCAGCTGACTTGGATGGCAAGGTTACCGTATATCAGGTAGGTTGAGGCACTCTGAGATCCTGGCAGTGCAAGAGACCCTCTGCTCTGCAGCCTGAAATGATGATAGCATTGCGAGGGAAGAACGGAAAGCTGTATCAGCTCATCTCATTCTAGCACTGGTGCCTTTGGATGAGGTGTCCCTATAATTGTGTGCCAGTGCTTCCGAATTTTGTAATAGGAAAACACAGAATCTTGCGAGTAGGGATCTTGGTGTTTTGTAATAACTACATCCCCATCTCTTTCTGTGCAGCTGGAGTCCTCAAACTCGGGCAGACCTTTGGCATTTGTGGTCTATTAGGCTAATAGTGCAGGTCCAGCCCTTTGGGCACTAAATTTGAAAAAAAAAATATTCAGGAAGCATTTGCAAAAAGTATCTTGGCGAAGGAGTCTATGTCTTGTTTCTCCCTCCTGGGGAAAAAATATGCTGTGTGTTTGCATCACATTGAAACCAGTGAGACTTGAACACGTTATTTCGAAAGGGTTGGTTAGGCTTTCTCTAGTTGACACCTTTTATTTGAAGCATGTTCCTCTTAATGTTTTGCACAGATTCCCAAAGGAGTTTTGTGAGAATGTTTGTGGTTTCATTTTTTAAAAAAAGTTTCTTGTCAGTCTGCTTACAAAGGGGTAAGGAAAGCCATGCAGCCAGTATTCCTCTTCCCCTGGTTTCTTAGTAAGAAATAAACCTGCTCCATTCAATGAGTGTCAAGAAACTGAAGTCTTAGGCTCTGATTTTTTTTAAAAAATGTTAAATTTAATTATATATCTCTCTATTTCATTCTGTGAACCACCCTAGGATCTCTTGATGTATATAAATTAAATTAATATTTTATTTTATTTTTAAACACATTGGATGACTTGTGTTTTTAGGTTTTCCTGTTTCGTACTGACTTTGAAGCCTCACTATAGTGTATGCTTAACCCACTCTTCTGATATTTCCACATCCCTAACCACAAAATACCTGGCTGTATTTCTGCTGGATAGGCAGTGGAATTCCCACCCTCCTCTTCACTGCAGAATTAGAAGTTTTAAAAATGTCTGTTAATTTAGAGCTCGTAAACTTGGGGTTTGGCTGTTAAATACTTAATTTGTTAGAGCAGTGAGGGCAGACTGTTTGTATAATTCCTGGTTTGGGGAGGGTTCTTGGCTGGGGGAGGAAATGGCCAATTAATAATAAAGCTATCTTAATGTTTTCAGCTGCCTCATTCGGAGATTTTGGACTCTGGAAAAACAATTGACCACCCGCATATTGTAGGTACTTAACCCCTTTGCATTATTCCTTTATGTTGAGTGGATAATCGCTGTGTTCTGGAGCTGAAGGGAGCATGCAAGCTATAAAGGAGGCAGAAATGGATGCACTCATAGGGCTATGGTATGCTTCAGTTGAACGGGGCTGTGAAGAGCAGGTGTTTCTGGTGTGAATTATGCTACCTTAATATTTAACTCAGAATTGAACAAAGGGTGGACCAGCCAAAGTGTTGCCCGTTGTCTTCATACAGACCCTCACTTGACTCCTAGGGCTGTGTGATATCCTTTTATGCACTGAGTGACTTCTGTATCTTGAAGGGCATGAAATTCCAAAGCTTGGGAGGGTAATAAATCAACTTTAGAATCATCATCGTTTATTTCCTTTCTATATCACTTTATAGTTTTTTTTAAAAATCTCAGAGCAGTTTGCAACCTACATTAAAACATCAAATAAAAAAATCCAGAATAAAACATTACTGAAGAAAGTCAAGTGCACATTCAAAGCAACATAATTTAACAGGAGACTAAAATATTATCTTAAAGATTTCAAAATAAAACATTACAAAAGTTAGCAATAAATTTTATCTTAAACATTTCAAAAGAAAACATTATCAAAAGAAATCAGATATAAAATGCACATTTAAAACAGCATAATTAGCAAGAGAATAAAGTATTATAAGCATATAACATAGCTGCGGTCTGTGGAAGCTGAGGCTCAGTGATCTGAGAGACCGTCAAAAGGGTCTCTGGCCTCTTCAGCAATCTCAGCTTTTGTAGTTGGAGTCAGAGCCACATCCTCCCAGACCAGGAGGGAAAAGGCCAGCAAGGCAGGGAGCAGGCATTCCAAGTCTCACAGCCAAGATGGTCATCATAGAATATTATCGTCATTTACATGCATCCCATGTCTCCACTTCTTACTGCTATGACATTAGACAACTTAACACTTGGGGAAATCCTTCTAAGTTTTCTAGCTATCTCAGCGACTTCTCTTCTCCCACTGAACTAGGAACAAAAACCCAAGTGAATACAACATTTTGTGTGATGGCAAAAGTGCTGTCTGTTTTTTAAATTAGTTTTTATTGGGGGTTTTTGTGTTACAAAGCAAACAGATAAACAGGGACCAGTGCCTCTGTTGTCTCCACTTTCAATTCATAGCTTTTTTCGCAGTTCGTTTACGTTTGGTGTGAGACATTTTTATCATAGACAGTTGGGGGGGGGAGAGATGGGGGTATTGTTCTTTCATTCTATTGCAAAAGTGCTGTGTTAAGGAGGGGAAAAAGTAAGTTTACAAAATTTCTTCAAACTACAATACTTGGCCTACCAGAATACTTTAGTAACAGTAAGCATGGTAAAGAACCCCAAAAGGAGGGATGGGCCCAACGTTTGGTTAATGGTGGAAATAGTTATAAGAGTCCTGGGTCTAGAAATCCCACCCTTTGACCTGTAGGAGTCCTGCCTAAGTTCCTTGGCTTCTGCTTCCATCTCCCTGCTTTCCATTCTTCACCAGAAACCAAAAAAAAAGCCATGCAGTGACTCTTTGCTATTGTTTAGTTCATAACAGATGTGCATATCAGATCCACCTTTCCCTTCAGTGAAACCATGTCCTTTTCAAGCATTATTTTTGATATGACTGTGATACCTAACCATTGGTTTATAACCTTTTCCTATATCTATACTTTCCCCCTTTTAGGAATCCAGAGCCCTGACCAGCAATCGCTCCTGGCTCACCACAATACAGACAGGCCTGTTTTTGTTGAAGGCCCCTTCCGCTTGTGGCTGAAGGAGACATGTGTTTATTACTATGTGCTCAGGGCAGAGCTGTTGCCTCGAGAAGAAAGGGTAAATGGCCTGTCCTTTCTCCCAACTCCCCTTTGAAGGCCTGTTGGAGGACCTGTAAGATCACTATGCTGAAGTGCTTCAGCAGAAAAGGAACTTGCCTTGGGAAAACTGAGAATTGGGATAGTATTGTTTGTATTTTATTTCTCGGGGAGAGATCGTGATATGTTTGTGGGTTGGGGAGGTTGGTGATTCAGAGCATTTAAAATAGATAATATATTCCCAGTGCTTTAGACTTTCTGCAGCTTAGAAAGGATTTAAGAAATGGTTGTAATCTCACCTGAGGCATCTTTAAAGGAAATTGGGTATTGGGTGCTTTTTGCTGAATTTAAGGAACCAGACAAGATTGTCAGTGGGACTTTTCAGAAATTGAACACGTTAAACAAATACTGTATTATTAAGTCTATCCCTGTTTAATCAGCCATCTCTCCATTTGTGTTCACTGCACGGTGGAATGTGCATTGAATATGCACTGGAGCAAGTACAGCCAAAAGTGTTGGTGCATATGGCAGCAGGAAGGAACAGAAAGCTGGACATTCAGATAAATCTTGGCTGTGTGGGGAAAGGAGGGTTTCCACTTGCAGGAGCAGAAGAGGAACAAGGAGCCTGACTTTGCAAACTTAGTTTAACAAGGGAAAGTCTTGTGATCTAGAGAAAGCAAATGGGGAGTTGCTGTTTGCTTAATGCAGGAAGATTCCCTCCCCTCCTAATACAGAATACTGAGAGAGCATATCTGAGGAGTTAGACAAGCTTCAGCAAGGACAGTTCAAGCACTGCCAGTCAGTAAGGTTTGGGCTGGGCAAGTTGACCATTGGAAGTGAATGAGAAAGAAACACATTACTCTTAACTGTGCTGTAGTATCCTCAGAAGCATCTGCTGTGCATGGATATGGTATACACAAGTAGGCCTGATCCTGCTCTTCTAGGAAATATGTCTTGTTGGGGTGTGGGTGCTAATTCGAAGCGCCAGGGCTAGTGTTCTTTGCAGCTAGGTCATTTTGTTGGCTATGAAAGTAATACAGTCTCTCTCCCCCTGCTTCTTTTCACAAAAGGAAGAAGTGATTGACCCAGAAAGGAATTTCTACTACCCTATGCACCTGGATATTGATCTGGAACGGGATCTTTGGGATGATTATGAATTTGACATAGATGAAGGTAGTTGCCGTTCATGTCGTTTTTGTGGGTATTATTTTTTTAATCATTAATGTGGTAGAAGCGCTTCAGGGTAACAGGAGACAATATGGGCCATTCCATAAGAATTTGCCCTGCTGGATCAGACCAGAAGTGACTTAATGAGATGCTTACTGGAAGCCTGCAAGCGGGGCTCCTACTTGTGAGTCCTTCCAACTGGTATTCAGTGTCATACTACCTGCAACACCATCACAGCTAGCCGTGCTTTGCACAAATTTGTCTAATGGGCACCTTTAGCTTATGTTGCTGACATTTTCTTTTTTCTTTTTTTTCCAAATTTTTAAATTGATTGTCAAAATTTCAAAACAGACATACATACATCCTGTTTAAATCTTGGTAACATTATTAAGTGACTTCCTCAAATCCCCTTGGTTGAATTTCATTTTATATGATTATAACAGTTTTCCAAAATCTATTTTCTCAAAAAATTAACTTGATCACTTAACATCTTTGATTCTTTCTAATTTAAATTTAAACATCTTAAAAGCTTTTCCAATTAAGTTATCTTAACATATTTAGCTAAATAGTCTTTAAATTTCATCCATTCTTCCTGATACTCCTCCTCTTTCTGGCCGCGGACTCTTCCAGTCAGGTCGGCCAGCTCCGAAAAGTCCATCATCATCTTCACCTGCCAATCTTCCATATGCTGCCAACATTTTCTGAGATTATCTTGGAACATGGTGTGGATTGGGAGGTGGTGGACTTGAAAACAGGAGCTATTGCTAGCCGTGCAAATTCCTCCCTTTTGTATTCTGTTGAAGTTGCTCAACTGCTCATCTTACGTTGGCTCTGATGAAAACATGGGGTCGAATTCTGCACAGACTCCCATGCATGTGGCACTGCAGGAGGCTACAGTCTTGTTACAGTCTTTGATTGGGCAGGGCTATAATTAATTTGGCAGTCAGCGACCAGCAAGTAGTCTATACAGTGGTACCTCGGGTTAAGTACTTAATTCATTCCAGAGGTCCGTTCTTAACTTTAAACTGTTCTTAACCTGAAGCACCACTTTAGCTAATGGGACCTCCTGCTGCTGTTGCACCGCCAGAGCAAGATTTCTGTTCTTATCCTGAAGCAAAGTTCTTAACCTGAAGCACTGTTTCTGGGTTAGCGGAGTCTGTAACCTGAAGCGTACGTAACCTGAAGCGTATGTAACCCGAGGTACCACTGTATAAGGAATAAGAAAACTGCCAAAGAAATGTGGGACAGTCTTGCAGCAGTATATATTAGAAAAGAGTCGGCGTTTTTCAAGCAGCTGTACCAGATGAATTTTGCAGCCTGGTGGTGACCTGGCAGCACACTTGAGACATCTGGAGGCGATACTTGGTGAATTAATTTGAAGGGTAGGTGCTCAGATAGAAAAGTAACTAAGCCATTTGGGCTGGATAAAGAACAGAGCTAGGGATGTTTGGAGTCTCACGTCTGGTTGTTGAGCAGGGCTTCTCGTTCTACACAATGTATGCAAGATCACTGCTCAGATTCTTTACTTTCACTTCTTATTTCTTTTCCTGTTTCAAAATAATGACGCTCTTCTTTGTGCTTTCCCCATAGTTGAAGAGGGCCCTGTATTTGCCATGTGTATGGCAGGGGCAGGAGACCAGGCCACCTTGGCCAAGTGGATTGTGGGTCTTCAGAAAACAAACCCAGTTTTGCGTCAGACGCCGGTTGTGTTCCGTCTCACCCCTGGGCCCCGGGAGCTACAGTCAGGCACCAACTTGGATGACGATAGTGAAGAGGAGATGGCGGAAGCTCAACGCCTCAACAGAGATCTTTGAGCACATGTTTTTGTTTTCAACAGAGGTCTTTAATTTATTGAGTATAACTTCATGCTTGTGCTTTAAATCCCAGGATGCTAGTGCAATCATTCCTACAAATGATCGGAGGAATTTTGGGTTCAGTCTTGATTGCTTGGTGGATTGAGGGCACCTGTTCTTCAACAAAGCATCTCTCCTCTCAGCTACAACACTTAACATTGAACACCTGTGGACAGAGTCGACACCTTTGCTATAACAGCAGCAGAGGAATGTTGCATCTCCTTTTGGAAAAGTTTTCCCCCAGATAAACTTTCAGATCAAGAGTTGATACCTTTAAAAATCACTGCTGTTCTTTCAATTGTCTGAGAGGCTGCAGTGAACTTCACTGTGTTCCCTTCTGTGGCCTTTTCTTTTTAGAAATCCACTTTCCTTGAGTTCTTTCTGATGGTTTCAGAACAGCGTTTTCAGTGACAGAGCCGCCATTCTTTGACTACAATTCTTCACTTCCTTATCACTTCAGCCCTGGCAGTTAGATGAGCTGAGCTTTTCTTCCTCTCATTGACCTGATACTGGAATGGGAAGGTTTGGTACTCTATGAGTATTGGTCAGTGGTAAGGATTAAAAGTCTGTGGGTTGTTTTTCCTGATGTGATTCTGCTTTTGTACCTCCCTCCCAGCACCACTGTCTTTGTGTAATATATGCTAGCATTAAAAAAGAAAGTCAAATGTCATGTGTGTGTAGAACTTAATTTAAAGCTTTAATAGAGGCTGGTTATGTTTATTTTATTTTATTATTTCCTAGCACCTCGTGTACACGCAGTCGTGCGTGAGTGGAATGTGTGTAAATGCTTGTACAGTTGTACCTTGAAAGTTGAACAGAATCCGTTCCGGAAGTCCGTTTGACTTCCAAAACGTTTGGAAACCAAAGCACAGCTTCTCATTGGCTGCAGGAAGCTTCTGCAGCCAATCGGAAGCCACGCCGGATGTCCAGCTTCTGAAAATCGTTCGAAACCCGAAACACTCACTTCTAGGTTTCAATCGTTTGGGAGCCGATTTGTTCAGGAGCCAAGGCATTCGAGAGCCAAGGTACGACTGTAGTTGTTGGTTGAGCAAGGCTTTTGACCACAAGCAAGTGACCCTAATACAGAGTCACTTCCATTTCAGTTTCAGTTTTCAGAAAACTCCACAATATGGAGTAAGAATAGTGGAAGAGACCCTAGGCATCAATGAACAAGAAACCACACAAGTAAAAACCCTGTTGTAAAGCAACAGCTCCAGCCCCAGGAGAGGAAAGGACATTAATTTAATATTCAACTGGATAAAAGTCAGGTGTAGACACTAAGTCATGGCTTTTATATGAGGGACATATACATGGGGACGCAGGTGGCGTTGTGGGTTAAACCACAGAGCCTAGGGCTTGCCGATCAGAAGGTCAGCGGTTTGAATCCCCATGACGAGGTGAGCTCCCGTTGCTCGGTCCCAGCTCCTGCCAACCTAGGAGTTCGAAAGCACGTCAAAGTGCAAGTAGATAAAAAGGTACCACTCCGGCGGGAAGGTAAACAGCATTTCCATGCACTGCTTTGGTTCGCCAGAAGTGGCTTAGTCATGCTGGCCACATGACCCGGAAGCTGTACGCCGGCTCCCTCGGCCAATAAAGCGAGATGAGCGCTGCAACCCCAGAGTCGGCTACGACTGGATCTAACGGTCAGGGGTCCCTTTACCTTTATACATCGCTTGATTGTAGAAAAACCTCCAAGATGTTTACAAAAAGAATAAAACAAGAATATTTTCAGTAAAAACAGTTTAAAACAGCTATTTAAAACATTCATAAATGGATAATTTGTGGATCCTGTGGACTGAGGCAGTCGTCTCACTTTACCCTATGGGTAGGCATCTCCTTGGCAGCCCCATCCCCCTCATGCCCCCTCTACAGCAACCTCTTGGCAAATAGGAGGCACTGCTGGTCTCCCCCAACCCTTGTTCCCAATGGATCTCTTCATTCTCTCCTTCCCTGGCTGGGAGGTGCCATTTTGTGGTTCAGGAGCAAAAATGTCTTGGGCTGGCTCTGATTCTTTATATTCTTCCACCCTTTTTGACCTGTGTGTGCAGTGCTAGGGTACAAAAATATCCCTCACACCGTAAGGAGATTGCAGAACTTACAAGAACTGTTGCAAACACACTATAGTTTTAATTGTTAGGAAACAATTAAAAACACAAATTTCACAGGAAAACGAGACCCATAAAAACTCCTCTTTTTGCAGGCACTTGTGGAGGGGGGCAGGTTGTGGGGGGAGATCACGCCTGTTAAATAATCCTACCCTAAATGCAGTGGTTCTCCTAAGAATATGGTGTTTTCACACTGGTGTGGCAGGAGAGGAGGGGGGCAATTATAAAGTAGCAGTGTTGATTTAAAACCCCAGATACAGTTACAAGGAAATACTTGGATACAATTATAAAAATAGAGAGAGGGTAAATTCAGGAAATGGGGTAATGGGCATTGCAAAATGCTTTATTTGACAGAAAGCAAAGAAGGGATTAGAAGGAAGGGAATAACGGGAGAAATGAATTAAAAGGAGAGCAGACTAAAAAGCAAAATTGAGGAAAAGGTTCGTATATCTCTTAGGTTGTCTTCATTTGGTTTATTTGGTCTTGCTTTCCAGCTTCTTTAGCTATTTTTCTACATCCGTGTTCAATGTTACAAATCAAGCATGGCTATGAGTTCTTCCTTTTCCATTGTATTTCTTTTCAATAAAAGAATAGGTGGGTGAGAACAATTCCACCACCACCCCCCAAAAAAAGTGTGGCCCAAAGAAAAAAAATTTGAGAACCAGTGCCCTAATGTTTAAATAGGCAGCAAACTGCTGCCCATGATAGTTTAAAAAATAACAAGCCTTGACACACACAGAGATTCAAAATCCAGCTGCTATTTTCATTTTTATGGTTTTTTGTTGCGACTACTAAATACCCCGCCTTTTCCCCTGACGGGTCTCCAGGCGGCTTACAAACTGTATGAATTAACTCCCTGCCCATTTCTCCGCCTCTGTTTGGGAACCCGGAAACGGAAGAGCGCGAGCGGTTGGTCGCCTTGGCAGCGACGCCATCAAAATGCGCCAAGGCTCGCTCCATGACAATGGGGCTCCTTAGCTACCGGTCGGAGACGAGCGACTCTGAGCATGACCCGGCCGCAGGCGAGGAGGAAGAGGAGGAAACCACTGCCAAAGATGGAGAAGCGGCGCAGGGTGGAGAGACTTCCGGGTCAGCGCCATTGGTGAATGGCGGAGTTCCTCCGACCGGAGGAATGGGCTCCGTGGAAACTGGGTCTTCCCGCCACGGTAAATGTGGGGACCCGCTAGAAATCCCAGGCAGAGGAAGCCTGGGAACGTGGGGTTCGGCAGGGCACCAGAAGCGCCCCCCTACTCGCGGGGAATCCCATTTAGGGGCTCCAGAGCGAAGTGGGGTGAGAAGCGCGGTGCTGCGAACTGACTGCTATTTTCACGGAGTGAAGCCGCACAGCCATTGCCGGAGAGCGCTGACTTTTTCCTGTGGACAATTGGATTTAAAACAAGTACCCGTGAGTAGAAACGGAAAATTGGATCAAGAAATTTCTTAATTTGGTATCGAAGCGGGAAGGTGCAAAACAGGAAGTCCACCTTCCGCTTGTTGTATATAGACTAAAGCAAAAACTTTGTAAGCTAAAGCCGGGAAAGCTGTCAAAAAAGTCTAAATTTCCTTCATTCAGAATCACTGAAACCCCCCTTGGAAGCAGGAGGAAAGGGGGGGGGGACTGTGTTTAACCCTAGCAGGAGAGGGAGTGAAGAAGGATAAGTTTCCACCGTCTCTAACCTGGGAACGGGGTGTCAGAGACAGAAACTGTTGGAGAGGTTCATTGACTGTGAATGGAATATTTTGACAGATAGCTAACGAAGAGAAACAAGTTGATTCTAATGTTGCCTTTTGCATTTTAAAGAAACAAAATATCTGAAAAATATCTGAAATATCTGAAAATGAAAGTAACTTTCCTTTGTCTTTAAAAAAAAAATGGATACAAATAGAAATTGTCTCCTCTAGAGGGAGCTTGTTAAATTGTTGCTGCAGTATACTTGAGGACCCAACATCTGTGAGATTAAGATCGTGGGAACAGTCTTTTCTGACCTTGACCAAAGATGAGCTGGGAGGAAGATTGGGTGCTTGCTTTATGCAAGACAAATGCCTTGCTGGAACAGATGCACGAGAAGATGGACTTGATGAATGAGAAAATGGATTTGACTGTTGTGGTTAATAACTGTGGACAAACAGGGAACATTGATACAGAAATCATCTGGGGACCAACCTATGAATCTGTACTGACTGGGCAAGTGCAGATGACAATGGAGGAGGATGCGGTTGCACCTCAAATAATACAAATGGAGAGACCCGAGGCCCTACAGGAGCATAAGCCGCTGTCATTGAAGATTGAAGCTGGAGTGGGCCAGGGGGAGTTTGGAGCTGAGGAGGTTCCTAACCATGGAGAGACCTTGAAATATGATTTTATTTTATTTTTTTTTAAAAAAAATATTTATTGGTTTTACAAGAAAAATTTCCAAAAAAAAAAAAAAAATACAAAATACAGAATTACAAAAATTCAACAAACAAAAAACAACAATAACCATGACAAAAGACAAACAGAAATAACAGTATCCATAACAAAAAAAGAAAAAGGAAAAAAGAAAAAGAGACAAAGATATTCAAAGAATATTATACTTTCATTTATCCTTCTTATCTTTACCTGGTTCTTTGACTTCCCCGCACCTCCCCGCTTGTATTTCCATTTAAGAACTCCTTTCAGCAAATCCTTACCCTCCTTTCATTATCTTAACTCAGAAAACTTAATCTATTTATATATAAATATTTTTACAACCTTATCAGTCAAATATTCCATACTCTTAATCCCAAGGCTTTTGCCAATACCAGTTATTTTCAATCAAACTTCAATTTAACATTCATTAATTTTATAGTATTTCTGTAGATAGACTTTAAATTTCTTCCAATCTTCTTCCACCGACTCTTCTCCCTGGTCACGGATTCTGCCAGTCATCTCCGCCAGTTCCATATATTCGATTACCTTCATCTGCCATTCTTCCAGAGTGGGTAAGTCCTGTGTCTTCCAATACTTTGCGATGAGTATTCTTGCTGCTGCTGTTGCATACATAAAGAAAATTCTATCTTTCTTTGGCACCAATTGGCCAACAATGCCCAAGAGGAAGGCCTCTGGTTTCTTTAAGAAGGTATACTTAAATACCTTTTTCAACTCATTATATATCATTTCCCAGAAGGCCTTAATCTTTGGGCACGTCCACCAAAGGTGAAAGAATGTACCTTCAGTTTCCTTACATTTCCAACATTTATTATCGGGCAAATGGTAGATTTTTGCAAGCTTAACTGGGGTCATGTACCACCTGTACACCATTTTCATAATATTCTCTTTTAGAGCATTACATGCTGTGAACTTCGTACCTGTGGTCCATAACCATTCCCAGTCAGCAAACATGATGTTATGTCCAATATCCTGTGCCCATTTAATCATAGCAGATTTTACCGTTTCATCCTGAGTATTCCATTTTAGCAGCAAGTTATACATTCTTGAAAGTGTTTTAGTTTTGGGATCTAGCAATTCTGTTTCCAACTTTGATTTTTCCACCTGGAAGCCAATTTTTCTATCCAAATTATAGACCTCTCTTATTTGGTAATAATGCAACCAGTCTCGCACTCTATCTTTTAATTTTTCAAAACTCTGCAGTTTGAATTTGTCTCCTTCTTGTTCCAAGATCTCCCAATATTTTGGCCATTTGGCCTCCATATTGGACTTTTTTAGGGCCTTTGCCTCCATTGGTGATAACCACCTTGGGGTTTTATTCTCCAATAAGTCTTTGTATCTTATCCAGACATTGAACAATGCTTTCCTGACAATATGGTTTTTAAACATTTTGTGAGCTTTAACCTTGTCATACCACAGATATGCATGCCACCCAAACACATTATTGAAACCTTCTAAGTCCAATACATCAGTATTTTCCAGAAGTAGCCAATCCTTCAACCAGCAGAAAGCTGCTGATTCATAATAAAGTTTAAAGTCTGGCAGGGCAAATCCCCTCTTTCTTTAGCATCAGTCAATATTTTAAATTTTATCCTAGGCCTCTTGCCCTGCCAGACAAACTTAGAAATATCTCTCTGCCACTTCTTAAAACAGTCCATTTTGTCTATTATTTGTATCGATTGAAACAAAAACAACATTCTTGGCAATACATTCATCTTGATGACAGCAATTCGCCCTAACAAGGAAAGCTTCAAATTTGTCCATATTTCTAAATCCTTTTAATGTCCGACCAACATTTTTCATAATTGTCTTTAAATAAATTCCCGTTTTTAGCTGTCATATGAATCCCCAGATATTTCACTTTTTTACCACTGTTAAACCTGTCTCATTCTGAAACCTCTCTTTTCAATCGGTGTTAAATTCTTCTCAAGTACTTTAGTTTTAAGCTTATTCAACTTAAAACCTGCCACCTGACCAAACTCTTGAATCAGTTCTAATGCTCTTTTCGTACTAGATTCTGGCTCCTGTAATGTCAATACAAGGTCATCTGCAAATGCTTTCAATTTATATTGCTTCGCTCCGACCGTTATGCCCTTAATCAGATGGTCCCTTCTTATCATATTTAACAAAACCTCCAGAACAGAAATAAAAAGTAATGGGGAAATTGGGCAGCCTTGTCGTGTCCCTTTCTCTATCTTAATTTCCTCTGTTATCACATTATTAACTATTAATTTGGCTTTTTGTTCTGAGTAGATTGCATTTATACCATTTTCAAACTCTTGGCCTACCCCCATCCCCTGAAGATTTTTTTTCATAAAACTCCAAGAAATATTGTCAAAGGCTTTCTGCATCCACAAAAATCAAAACTGCTTTAGTATTGATCTCCTCTTGCAGCTTCTCCAGTATATCAATTATGTTCCTTGTGTTGTCCGAGAGATGTCTGTCTGGAAGAAAGCCAGCTTGGTCCTTGTGAATCACTCCTTTTAGCACTTTTTTAAGCCTTTTTGCTAAAATGTCAGCAAAAATTTTGTAATCCACATTTAACAGGGATATGGGCCGGTAGTTCTTAAGCTGTGTCTTTTCAGTCTCGGCCTATGGTATAAGTGTAATAAATGCATCTTTCCACGACTCTGGCGCTCTTTTCCCCTCTAAGATTTCATTACAAACCTCAGTTAAAGGTCGAATTAACCAGTCTTTCAAAGTTCTATAATATTTTGAGGTTAAACCATCCGGTCCTGGAGATTTTCCCAACTGCATATTCTGAATGGCACCTTCAACCTCCTGTTCTGTGATTTTATAGTTCAACAATATCTTATTGTCCTGAGAAATTTTTTGTAATCCATTGGTTTTCAAAAATTGCTCTATCTCAAATTCTTTCTGAGGCCCTTGTGTGTATAGTCGTTTAAAATATCTCTGGAAGCATTTCCTAATTTCTTCTGGATTCTGGATATTTTTCCCTTCCACTTCCAAATTAGTAATAGTATTAAGTTTTTGTCGCGACCTTGAAATATGATTTTAAATACTTTTTGCATTATATCGAGGACTGTGGGGAGAGGGACCGTGGGGAATGGGCGGGCTGGATGAAGGGAGATGGAGACAATTTTGGGCTGGAATCCCCCAGAGACCTACTCCTCAATGAGAAAGGAAAGAAATTAAGAAAGAGACCAACAAAAGAGAAGGAAAAGGGCAAGTATAAACAAGAAGAAGAAGAACTGCAGAAGGGGCATGGAAGAGACTTAAGGGCCTCGGACATAAGGCTTCCAGGTTGATGGACTAGATGGAATGGGCAGTAAGGACTGACACGATCCGAGACCAGGAAGAAGAGACGCTGGATGAAGATTGGAAGAAAATTTATAAAGGAAACCTTTTATTTAGAATTAGCTTAATGAATATTAGGGGAAATGTTGGATTGAAACTATATGACTCTACCAGAAATGATATCAGGAGCTATGTATATTTGAAAACTAAGATTCAAGCTTTAAGGTATTTTGGGGTAAGATAAGGTTAAATAAATTAAGGTAATTTGAAAAACAGAATATGGGGAAAGATGGAAAGGATTTGTTGAGTTAACTATTAGGTTAAATTGTTAAGATAAATTTTTTAACAAAAATTGAGAAAGATGGAAAGAATTTGCTGAAACAATTAATTAAACTAGAATACAAAAAGGGAGGTGTGAGGAGGTCAATGAAACAAGCAAATGGAAGTTATAGATATGCAATTTGGGATTTGTGTCCCCCCCCCCCTTTTTTATTTTCTTTTGCTGTATTGTTGTATTGGTTTTTATGTTTTGCGTTTTTCTCTTCTTTTTATGTATTGTAGTGTTGTTTTTTATTTTTTATTTTTTTTGTAATTCTGAAATTATTAATAAATATTATTTTTTTTTAAAAAAGGAGAAGCGGCGCAGGGTGGCCAGAAGGCCCGGGGTAGGCCGCTGCTCACCGAGTCTGACCGAGCCTGGTGCCGCCTCGAGTCCCGGAAGAAATCTGATGTGTGGTGGGTCTACCTGGGTGAGTCCCACGGGCCCTGGTTGAACCTGAGGCAGCGCAGCTGCTGGAGCGATGCCACTTACTTGCTGGGACTGGAACGGGAGCAGCGGACTGGGCGCCGCGGGTGAGAACCGGCGGGGAGAACGGGCCGTGGGGTTCCTTCACCCACTGGGCAGCTGGCAGCAGAGGCAGCCGCCGTTGTTCCTGCTGTGATGTAACTCCATTAAATGCTTCTGGAAGGTAGCTTCTCTCTCTCTTTTTATATATATACCGTATTTTTTCGTGTATAACACGCCCCAATGTATAAGACGCCCCCTATTTTTAGGGACTCCCAATTTAAGAAATCCTCACCATTCACTATCCGGGTATAAGACCCACAGTTTTTCATATAATTTTTAAGTAAAAAAACCTAATCTTATACACAGAAAAGTACAGTAATTTTTTTCCCAATTACAGTCCAATAATATCCTCATTATAACAATACCAAATTATAATACAGTTACTAATACCAATCGTTCAAATAGCAACTTATATAATTTAGGTGCCCCCCACGTGCTAGATTTGATGGCTTGATGATTTTATTTATTTCTGTGTTCCAAAATCTTACACATTTCAGATACATTCCAGTCAAAATAATAATCCCTTATACAACGGCTGCAATATTAATAACTTCTATTCGTGTGGACACATTAAATGATTTATAGAACTGCCAGTGAGGGAAGGTGGCCGGTCTCGGTCTGCTCCAATGAGCTCATCCTCTCTCTCTCTCACATTCTTTCTGAGGGGAGGAATGTGGGTACAGTGGTATCTCGGGTTACAAATGCTTCGGGTTACAAACTCCGCAAGCCTGGAAGTAGTACCTTGGGTTACAAACTTTGCCCCAGGATGAGAATAGAAATCACGCACCAGTGGCACGGCGGCAGTGGGAGGCCCCATTAGCGAAAGCGCATCTCAGGTTAAGAATGGTTTTGGGTTAAGAACGGACCTCCAGAACAAATTCAGTTTGTCACCCGAGGTACCACTGTATTTAGATATTTATTTCACCTCACATTCTACACAAGGGGAGGAATGTGAGCCTGCGTTTTCTTTCCTTGATGCGGGACTCGAGTCTGCATACCGGTTAAAATAAGAACAGGTAAAACAGAAAAATAGCTACCAAACGTGGTTTTTTTAATGTTAATATATGCATGTGATCTATCAAATCATTAATTTGGGGTGTATGGGGAGGGATAGTACACAGTGGGGGACACACACACACACACGTCGTGCTCCTTCTGCGGTAGTTTGTCCACCTGTGGTCCCCATCTTCCACCCGGCTCTCACCTGTGGCTGAGAGAAGTTGTCAGCATGTGACAACAGCCACACCGTGGGAAATGGCTTCAACTGGCCGGCTAAACCAGGTGAGGGTAGCCAATGGGCCTCAAACCCCGCTGTCAGATGGCAAAGGTGATTGCTCACGAGTAACCAGACAGGACTCTGACCTGTCTTTTACAGGTTTTATTTAGGTGCAAAACTACAGTGCAGAACCCCAAAGTTCATGTCTGCCTCTATCGCTAGCAGAATCCAGGAGTGCTTGTTTCCTGGACCTCCCCCAGCATAAAAGTCTCGTTATGCCCAGCCTTTTCCTTCCATCTCTGTGCTTTAGACTTCTGCGCAGGGTGGGCGATGGAAGGGGTGTGCTTCCCTCCTGGCCAGTTGAGGCTCCTGCCAGCTTCCTCTGGTCCTTTCACCACTTCCCCACTGGAGATGGGGTTTTCCTCATCACCGGAAGAAGAACTGCTTCGCAAGATTTTCTGAGGCTCCCTGTAGCACAACTGCCCCTCTGTTTCCCGCCCCTGTTCTGATGGCAGTTCCCTGACACCCACGTTATGCAGTTCCACCGCATGTGAAGACCGCTCCAGCAGACGGAGCGGACGAAACCAAGAGTAGGGCCCGTGCTCAAAAAGGTGGCTTCTGCACATGCTGTAGAGGGGCGTGAGGGAAAGTTGGGACTCGTCAACCTGGGAACCTCGTCAATCTAGGAGACAGAAAACTCTAATCCCAAGGCTCCACTGCCTTTTGAGATGTCTTCGAGAGAAGGAAAGGATAAGGTGTGAACCCGGAGTGGAGTCCCTAAGACAGTTGGCCGGCACCTCGTATTGAAGGAACAGATTACTAAAACCTGACTGTGCAGGCATCCCGAACCGAGCCCCAAAACTCCCAAATTCTTTCTTCAAGGATATATTAGCTAAAATCCGATAGCTTGAGCTGTAGGAGACAGATGCAGCTGTATAAACAAAGCCTTCTCCCTTATCAATCCATGAAGGCTTAATGGATGGCCTTGTCAGTTCCAAGATGGGATGGCGGATCTGGGTCATATCTTACCGGTTGTAAATATCCTGACCACGCTGACGCACAGACCTTGCAAGACAGGCCTGTCAGCCCACGCACCCGGAGATGGCTCCTATAGTTGGGTGACCTTTGTACCCCAAGATAAGAGTACAGGCTACAGGAAGGTCTGTTCATGCTCAAGGATGTAAACTTACATGTACAAACTCACGAGGTTGGATTCCTGGGGAGGGGGAAAGGGGACCTGAAAGGGATATAAGCTGTCTGTAACTGCTTTTTAGTGTGCTTGCTGTGAACGATCACGCAGTGCCTTTCTGCTGCTCCGGAGAGCAAAAATAAACTCTTTCTCTGAAGCAACCCTTGGTGTCTATTGACTCCTCCCTCCCTCCCGGGAGCAACGCTCATCCGACCCATGGAAAAGGTATGAAAGGCTACAGTATGTCTACTTCTGGTAACTTCTGCCACCAGCTGGTGCTAAGCATATTGCTCTGCTTTCCTTTGGACCACATCAGCAAGGCCAAGAGGGAAATCTTGTCGTTTGGGTAGCCCAGGACCTCCATACACACTCCCCTGGTCACTTTGGTGTCACTAACGCCACAGTTTGACTCCACCCACCCAGGTGCACTCCATTGTGTCTCAAGACAGATGGATGCCAACAAGAACAATTAAAACCTTGCAGACAATCACAACAAAAACAGGAGTAAGTCCCTTCAGAGATGGTATTTCTGAGTAAACGTGCATATAATCATAGTTTTGCACCTTTGAAGGGTCAGGCAAAGGAGATATATGGAACGGTCACTCTTCTTGCTACTCAACCTAGGTCTATTGATATCAAACTTCTGTTTAACCATAGCTAGTGACTTCATATATACTGGACAGGTGGTGAGGATAAGATGAAACTCAGGAATGGTCTTGGAGTGAAGGGTGAGCATTTGTCCATCACAGTGTTCTGTGAACTTCTGAAGTGATGAGGGGCAGCTTTTTCAATATCCGTTTGGTTCCACAGCCAAGTTATCACAATAGCAAGTTGGTCACGACTGGACCTAATGGTCAGGGGTCCCTTTACCTTTACTATGGTGAACACTATTAGAGAAAGATTTAACAGAATCAACACAGGCAATTGCCTAATGTAAAACTTTTTTTAAAAAACCTCAAGATTTTTGGAAATCTCAAACAGAAAGCTTGAGACAGCCACTGTATTTCTCTGCATTAAGAGACCAGAAATCACATTTCATAGTATTCATCTGAGCTTAGATGTTAAGAGGACATCATTATGATTAAGAAATCAATGCATTTGTTGGTGTTCTTGATGGGATCCTCGGTTTCCCAGTGGTAGTGATTTCTGTGGCTGAGGAAACATGATTAAGATGATTGAATTTTGTTGTACTTTAGCTCTTGACTTCCTGAGAGGGACTGAAGAGCAAACTGACTCTTATGTGTTAGGGAGGGGTGTCGCTGGTTTGTTTTTGGTTTGTTGTGTATTTTGTGTTCTCATTTTGTATTTTTATGTTGTAAACTGCCTTGTGGCCTTTGGATGAAGGGCAATATATATCTATATAGATATAGATAGTTTATTTATTAATTAAATTGGTAAATTTAATTAATAAACTATCTATATATATCTATATCTATCTATCTATCTATCTATCTATCTATCATCTATCTATCTATCATCTATATATCTCTATCTATCTATCATCTATCTATATCTATCTATATCTATCTATCTATATCTATCTATCTATCTATCTATCTATCTATCTATATCTATCTATCTATCATCTATCATCTATCTATCTATATCTATCTATATATCTATCATTTATCTATCTATCTATCTATCTATCTATCTATCTATCTATCTATATCTAATTTTCAGAGTCTCAGTTATTTATCTTGCTTGGGACCATTTGAAAATCATCTTCTTTGGATTAGCCTTTCTTTTAACAAACAAATACAGTGGTACCCCGCAAGACGGAAAACCCGCTAGACGAAAGGGTTTTCCGTTTTGGAGGCGCTTCGCAAAACGAATTTCCCTATGGGCTTGCTTCGCAAGACGACAGCCCATAGGGAAATCTCAGGGACAGCGGGAAGCGCAGCGCGTCTTCCCCACTGTCCTCGGACCTCCTCCGAAGCCTGGCGGCGGGGCGGGGACACCTCCTCCCGCCGCCGCCGGGCTCGGAAGGCTCCTCCGGGCCGGGCGGGGGAGGGAACACCTGCCGCCGCCGCCCGGCTCGGAACGGTGCTCCGGCCGGGCGGGGGGAGGAAGACCTCCCGCCTCTGCCCGGCTCGGAACGGTGCTCCGAGCCGGGCGGTGGGGAGGAAGACCTCCCCGCCGCCCGGCTCGGAACGGTGCCCGGCCGGGCGGGGGGAGGGAACACCTGCCGCCGCGCCCGGCTCGGAACGGTGCTCCGGCCGGGCGGGGGAGGGAACACCTGCCGCCGCCGCCCGGCTCGGAACGGTGCTCCGGGCCGGGCGGGGGGAGGGAACACCTGCCGCCGCCGCCCGGCTCGGAACGGTGCTCCGAGCCGGGCGGGGGGAGGGAACACCTGCCGCCGCCGCCCGGCTCGGGAACGGTGCTCCGAGCCGGGCGGGGGAGGAACACCTGCCGCCGCCCGGCTCGGAACGGTGCTCCGAGCCGGGCGGGGGGAGGGAACACCTGCCGCCGCCGCCCGGCTTCGGAACGGTGCTCCGGGCCGGGCGGGGGAGGGAACACCTGCCGCCGCCGCCCGGCTTCGGAACGGTGCTCCGAGCCGGGCGGGGGGAGGGAACACCTGCGCCGCCGCCCGGCCGGAACGGTGCTCCGGCCGGGCGGGGGAGGGAACACCTGCCGCCGCGCCCGGCTCGGAACGGTGCTCCGAGCCGGGCGGGGGGAGGGAACACCTGCCGCC